GCCGTTGTCGTCGCTGGGCTCTCGGCCTGTACAGCGGCTGGAGGTGAACCGGCCATTCCTGTTTCCTGGTTTCTCTCCTCAGCGTACCAATTAATTCAACTTGGGGCCGAAGAAGGAAGAAGAAAAAAAGAAACTCTTGACAGAGAAACAGAAAGAGCAATGGCGATACGCAAAGCTTCAACAGCATCCACTCTCTAGGGACAGGATTGAAGGAGGGAAGGAGGGGGTTTTGTAGGCATCTAAGCCGGTCTCCATAGTTGAGCGACATGGGTTCGATGAAATGAGAAGGGGAGAAAAAACCTGCGGCAGGCTGCAGAATCTCCAGAACCAACAGAGCACAACTAAAAGGCCCAATTGGCTGCGCTCCGACTCCTCATTCGCATGTATATGCAAGTCAAACGTTGGTTGACGCGTCTTGTCGTCCAACATCCGACCCATTGCATGTTTACCAACGCCCTTCCCCCCTCCACCCCCTCTCTCTTCCGCCTAGATGGGAAGGCGATTATGCCATCCTTGCGTTGACAAATGCGGGTGCTCAATCGTCAATCCCCGGCGTTGGGCATTGTTTGCTTCGCAAGTTTTTCGGCATTGACGTAGCTGCTTCTTTATCGAGTCCCTAGGGTAGTCAGACTTGGGAGGGACCCGTTGCATACTTTTGTCCCTGGTATCCTGATGTTTGAATTTGACTCCGTAATAGCCAGCGACATCCCGTCAACGAGATCCGTCGGTGCAGCGTAGACCGTAAAGTCAGTCCCGTCCACGACCCGACGAACAAGCAACACTCCAAAGATCACCTAGCTCACCGAATAGACAACCCTACCAAGCTCACAGAAACCAAATAGTCATCGCTGAAGAAGCCGCTTGCAAGGCCCTCTAGTACTCGTTTCTCATCTCTGTCCCCTTCCCTCCCATCTTCAGAGATAGACAGAACCGCAACTGCCTTACCACAGCTCACGCCGTACCTTACTAGATTCACGCACAGATCTACTCAGCTATAAATCAGGACCCAGCTGCTCTGAACAGTTTTCACTTCACCTGGTGCTTCGCGAAGGTTCCAGGCGCCTGAGGAGATGTGAAGTGAAGGTACGTTGACGCGACCTATACCCCTCAAAGCTTGTGATATATAGTCAAACAGTGGCAGCGTGACTCACACCAGCAGCAGACAGCAACTCCACACACTTTTACCTCTGATTACTTTTCGTCGTCCGGCTACTGTATCTACTTGAAGAAATACGGCCTAGGACGGGGGGAGGCTGGAAGGTAGCAAGACACTGATTTAGATATACTCGGAGGCAGAAAACTGTATCCGTATGTTGTCCCGGCCGACCTAATTCATTGACGAGATCAATGAATGACCAAATATCTGTATCCCGCAGAATATACACAATCATGCCAAGTTGCAGAGGAGCAACTGTGTTGAGAACTGTGTATCCGATTTTATACTACCTACTTGGCTAGTCCCTCGCCGCTTGTAGGTAATTCAGTTGCGTCACTATCAACTAGCAGACTCCCAAGGGGTTATTGGTTTCCAGTAGATCATGGAAAATGAACTCACTTCTACTACGAACAGGCCCAGGTAAGTATCGTAGCATGAAAGGCTTATATCTTACTCGTGGCTCAGGGGATCCACGATACAAGCTACGATGTATTAGCATCTTGCCTTCTTCAGCTAAAAGACAGTCCTCGTCAACGAAGGGAGACATGTTACCAAGAGGCCTCTTCGTGTCCAGTTGCTCATAGTAACGGACCTCGCAGTGATGTCATTTTGCATCAACCACTAATATGGAGCTCAAAATGTATCATTCACTGGTATAAGTCACTTTATAAAGAGTAGGATCCGTAAAATAGTGGATGAATTGTCACATTTCTATTCAATGGACATATCGGTAAAGGCGTCAATGGGTTGACGTAAACCCCTATCTTCATTCCATAGCCCTTCCATAAGTAAAAGGTAAATATCCACGACGCCATTGCCTATCCATAATAATCCTGCCCATCCAACGTCGTCCCTCGGTCTGGTCCCGTAGGCCTGTTCTGACCGGGTCGTCTAGCAAAAGGTAGATACGAGAAAGAAACATGGGAGGTCGTCCCTGATATATAGGCAAGTAAATAGTGTAAGTAAATCGTGATCAGGGCCGACGCCCATCATATGGTGGTTTTTTTTTCTTTTTTCATTACTTTTCATCTTGTCTTAATCTTTCGTGGCGTGTTCATCGCCGAAGGGACTACGTCCCCTCTCGTAAGAACTTGTCCTTTGAGACCGTCTGTCGGGGCCGGCGGCGGCTCGCCTTGTTGCCTCCTCAATCACGGCACTGAGACTGTGGTTGCTACGAACAGCAGCTGGGGATGGCTCAGGAGGGTCGGAGAAGGGGCCCTGATCGACTGACGGGCTTTCATCGATGACTGTCACGGCAGCCGGTTCGCGGGCGGCCGCGGTGGTGCTGGGTGGCAGAGGTGTGCCTGGTGCCGAGATCTCTTCTGATGTTGATGATGCCTTGGATCCAACGCTGACTTGCTTGGGGCCGTTGCCGTTGCCTACACGGACTACCTGCACTCTCTGGACGGGGGCGGCGGTGGCGGTGTTGGCATTGTTCAGGAAGGTAGATCCGACACTGAATGTGCTGTCACGGCTCTTGGGACGGCCAGGAGCGTATTTTTCGTAATCGACACTGGGGACGGGAGGAGTGCTGCTGCCGTTGGTGCCGACACCCATAGACTTGACACTGACCACAGCGGCCTTGGCTCGCATACCAGTCTGAGCGGGGGCTACAACAACCGCATTCTTGCCGTAGATGGTGGAAGCGATACTGGGGGCGATGCTAGATCGAGGAGCATACGAGGTTCTCGCGACAGACGTGCGGTCAGAGTAGCCAGAGATGCCAGAGTAGGTGGAGTCGCGCAATTCGCCAGGGACAAAGAAGTGTTGCTCTTCGTACGGCGACGGGCTGCTTGCAGCGGAGTTGGAGGCGTGCATCGGGATAGGGGGAACAGGAGGGACGAGCAGAGTGGGTGACGTAGGAGTGGCTCGGTTTGTGACGCCTGGAATATAGGCAATCTGGATAATATTGGAAGCGCGGGTGAGTACTGTTGATGCAATAGAGTGAACGGTGTGTGTTGAGTCGCGGTTGGTTTGTCGTGGCTCGCCAGTGCTCTTCTCGTTGATCGTCTTCTCGTGGGTCGTCTCGGCATAGGACTCCTGGATAATTGACTGTCTCTTGGTCTTGATGAAGAACCTCCAGACAAGATATGTGGCGATTGCGATGACGACGAGACCGCCGATGACACCGCCAACGATTGCACCCGTGTTGGGCTTGCTGCTTGATGAGGATGATGATTTGCTGTCGTCCTTGGCGCAGATGGCCTGGGCACAGGTGCTACATGTCGGGATGGTGAAGGAGCAGAACTCGTCGGACTTGCAGTTGGTAGGGCATGTCGGTGCCTTGTCCTCACACTTGAGGCAGCCGTTCTGTCTGGGCAGGATGACTATGGAGGTCATGTCAGCAAATGAGGTTCGAAAGGGGGCGACGGTGATGTCTGGTGACGCACCAGCTTCCAGCTCCTCAAGCGAACGGAGGTGCAGGTTAGGGTCGAATTGAGCCATGATGATAGAGGAAGAAATGGCCTGGGGATGAAATGAGAAAAAATAGCCAGCGACGCTGATCGAGCGATGCCGATCGACGAAGCGAGACCGTTAGGCGTAGAAGGTGTCGATCAAATCGGAGGGGGTGATCAGACGGTCGAGGCGAGTGGACCGTTGGTCGGTACCAGGGAAACCGCGAGTTGGGGAAACGGCAGTAGATATAGCGAATGGATAGAAAAACCGTCGGGTAGATGAGACAAGTCGCAGTGTACTAGGGGTGACGGATACACGTTGAGGAATGGATTCGTGGCGAGGCGAGGCTGGCGTGTGGGCGTTTGCTGGACTGGAATGGACGGGTCGATGTACGAAGTGCGAGGGAATTCGGAGCGGATAGAGTGAGAGCGAACGAGTAGTAGTATAGTAGTAGTTGGGATAACGAGTGGACGAAGAGACTAGCTCGGCATTTGAGGTGGTGGGAAAAAAGAGGCGACTAGGCGATTGAAGTGAAAGACATCAACGGCGGTTTGTCGTTTGTCGGCCGCAAGTCGACGTCGACGGGTTGACGGGGCTTGAATGTCTTTTGTCGTCGACGGGATCTTGTCTTGGTGGGCGGCGACTGAGAAGCTGGAGATGTTGGGTGGAGGAAGAGACGGAGGTGGGAAAGGGCTGCTATGAAGGAAACGAAAGTGAGCAGAGAGAGAGAAGCAGTCAAAGACAGACCGGCGCTGGGCTGGTCTTGGCTCGACTTGGCTTGGCTCGCGCTGACTGGATCGACCGGGGGTGTGATGGAGAGGGGGAGGGATGAATGGGTTGGGATGGGACGAGATGGGTGGAAGGATGGCAGATGGATGGGATGGATGGTGAGAAAGAGTGTGAGATGGGCTGCGTCCTGCTTGGGCTTGGTGCTGGTTCTTCACAGGCGTTCGGCGGCAGGCGGAGCGCAAGCTGAAAGGGGAGACGGGGGAACCAAGGACGAACACCAACAGTGGAGAGAGTGGAGGTACATGCTCTGGTACCTTGCCTTAGGTAAGTACCTACCTTAGGTACGGAGCACATAGATACGTATCTTTTAATGAGGGAAAGAGGTGGACTGGCACGACTTTCCGGTTGGAAAAGGCGCAGGTGGGAGGAACCTAAGGCAAGAGGGGAGGGGGAGAGCGAATCTGCGGGACACAGGCACGAGATTGAGAGGGCAGGGGGTATGCTGTTAGCGAAACGTGAGGACCGGGGCAACTCCCTGCTCTGATTGGTCATGGTCCCCAGATGGCAAGAGCAAAAGGGGGGGCACTGCTCGCTTGTGGATCCCTTGATTCCCCCGACACCCCTGGCTAGAGCCGGGCGAGGGTCCAAGACTTCCAGGGCAAGGCCTAGAGTCTGGACTGTGCAGCCCGCCCATCCACCACCATGAACCACAAGGACCATGGGAACCCCATCCATCAATCTCCTCTTCGCTGCATACTGCAAAGTGCCAACACTACCTTCCTCCGTCCTTGGGGAATACCGCGACCAACTCGACCAAGGCAGTAAAGTGCCCAGAAAGCGCTGCACCGTTCGCACCACCGTCGACCCTCCAAGTACCTTACACAGTACCTCGGGCACTAAGATAGGTACTATTCAGTGTGGTGCACGCTGTTTGTGACTTTGTGGACATTACCCAGCGCGCCATTTTCCATCTTTTCATCACCTCGCCTCCAGGTACGAAGTATTGCCTACCAATCAGACCACGCCAGAGCCGGAATTGACCCATCTCCACCGTCTTACGCACTCTCCACGACTCGACAACACCATCTGCGGAATATCACTTCCACCCTCTCCATTGAGCGATATTGGGAGAGGCTCCCATCCTGATGATCCTGATGGCTGCAACTGCAGACTGCAATCTATCATCTGCTGTCTGCCCCCGCGTGCCCTACCTCCATCCTCATGGCGGGCTGGCTGTCGAGACGCACCCATGCTCACTGACTAACTTCGCAGAATGCTTGGTCAAACAAGCGAGCTACGCGGTTGCTACGCAGCTCGGCAGTGGCAGCCCATCATCCATGGACCATGGATCATGGACCGTGGACCATGGTTGCCATCCATCCAGCATTAATGTTGTTCGTCAATACAATAGAGTTCGTGCGTCTCAACCTGACAACCCGCCCGTCGTCCGATACGAGCCAGCGAGACATGACACGGCCTTTCTCTACTAAATCGGTAAACACAAGCTCTGGCACAGAATATTTCGTCCCAAACAGGATAACCCGATTCTCGACAAGTTGGACCTCTTGTGAGAATAGGAAACAAAAAGGGATACCATTCCCCAGCTTCCCACAATTATGCTGTTTCCAAATCTCGCAACACTTGAAGAAACCCGGCCTCTTACAAACCTCCTGTTAAGCTTCAATTCGCCTGGTACGGGTCGACCATTCTTTTCGTGCCGTCGACGTCGCACCGTCCCAGCTCGGGTACGTTTGGCATCCGGATCCCTTACAACTTTGGTCCTGCAGCGAGAACCTCAGTCGGCCCATGCAGCAGTACACCACGCCAGAAACATCACGATTGCCGACTCAGCCCCCCCGTTCCGACTCAGAAGATCTCAAGATACGAACTCAACTGAAACGAATGGGGTCCAGTGACAGCGACAGCGGGACGACATCATCACGGACGAGCTAATCGCGCCAGAAGGCCGTCAAAGGGGACCGTGAGGGTTGACAACCTGGGCTGACGATAGTCACTCAAAACGCCTTCCCGTGTCAGGCCTCCCTGTCTACTCGCCTGCTGTGATTTGCAAAGAAAAAAACCCACAGCAGTTTTCACCATGAACCAGCGTCGAGCATTGATCGAGGCTTGACTCTAGAGTATGCTCCTTGCCTAACCCGCGCTGTGTTTCCAACATTGTCCCCGCTGCCCCTGCCTGTCTGCGAACCGAATACAGTCAAGCGGAAGCCAAATCGTCAGGGCCCTGCGACATGTTCGGGGGCCGTCATAACGGAGGGATCCTGCTTAGCACGAGAAAATTCCGTATTCTGAGGCATTGGATCCGAAACTTCGAAACAGACAACGAGAACGTGCGTTCGCGTGGCCCTGGAGGCCATGAGAGCTCTAGACCACGAGATCTGCACTCATCACTCTAGGGATTTTCGTCTTGGCCTTGTGTGAATGGGGGGACAACAGTAGAGTTCCCCCTTCTCATCTGACAGCAAGCAGCGCTAGTCGCTCGAGACTGAGAGAAAGATATTTGTGGAACCGGGGGCTTGGGCGATCACTTCCAACTTACGCATATCCACCTGCCGCTCTCCCGCCGAAAGTGCTCAAGCTTTTAGCAATGCTGTGCCGGGCACCACCGTCCACCACCGCATCGCACGGCGCGCACACACGCTCCCTCGACCTCTGGGTAATGCAGGGCATATCTTAGTGTCCGGCGGACCAACCGCCATGCCGCGTGGTGAAGATGGCAGACGTCGCCAATCCAGGTCTCATACCTACCGAGCGCTAACACTGCGTTGTGCATGCTCCGGCAGCCCGCAGGACGGCATTTCGTGCGTATTGTTAGCACTGCATAAGTTTGGCTTCGGACTTTCGCCTGCTGACTGTGCGTCCTGTCCTACTCGGGCTTGGTATTTTTGCTATCGCTCCTGTCCCACTCTCAGCTCCGATCGGTTATACTGAGCGAGGTAAGCACGTGAGTCAGTTTGCTTCGACTATGCCAGCTCATTTGATATTGGTTTGTCACGCAGCTGCACTCGACGCCAATCTGGGTAAGCCACGAGATGACAACGAGATGAACCAAGAGCGGCATGCAAAGAAGAGAGATTCGGGATGCAGAGGGAGAAGTTGGTTCGTCAAGGGCACTGCAGCCAGTTAGCCACTGCTGCTGTCAAAGAAGCAACTCTTCGGGCTGTCAAACCTTCATCCAAGTCTTTTCTCATCTAGAATCGGGTGTCTCAGCCAATCATGGGCCCTCATTCACCGGAAAGAAGCAACGTCTAAATTCTATTTACCATCCCCTTCCCTGTCAGAACTCTTTTCTCGCAATCCTTGAGTGGTTTTTTTTTTTTTAAACAACAACCTCTGCATTGCCGTCTTGATTAGCCACCCGCAACACACAATTAATTACCTCTCGGACCAGGGCGTCCGTTTTTCCTTTTCACGACTCTCCACTTTCCAAATCTGGCCCATGCCATCTACCAATGGACCAATCGCAAGCTCGTAGACTGCGCTGTGCAAGTTCCCGCCCGCGGATGTTGGCCGCCGCGAAGCTGAGTTTTCTGGAATTACTCCAGATCCGGTCTTTCCATGTTCCAAAAGATCATCATGAACTCTTCGTTTCTTTGTCCATTTCTTTGCTTTTCCGAGAACTACTAGTGTGATTAATGACGCGGGCACCCGCTCCGAGGTGGGAACTGGGTGACTACCTAACTACCTACCTACCGCCTTTCTCCCCGCGCCACTCTTTCTTCCCTCGCGAAACTCGGATGAATTACGAAGGATTAGACTCGCCAGCGCGGTTTTTTTTCCAGGGTGCTGCAGTGCACAAAGAAAGCCTTGGCAGGTCTTGGCCTGTGAGGGCAACTCAGTCTACGGAACTCGGTATGGGAGTTCCCCTCCGTTGGACACGTGTAGTTGAGGTCTCTCGTCATCGTTAGTTTGCCACGGCGATACCTCTTCCGGCGCCGGCAAGACTCCCCGGGTTCCGGATCCGGGCAGTGGCGGCGGAGGAAGAGGAGGAGCGGGAAGAAGTAGAACAACGTCAATTGGCAGTTTTGCGTGATTTTTTTTTTCGTTTCTTGGACTGATCCAGGATGAGACATCACGTCCGTTGGACACGCGGCGAACGAGATCGAAGCGGCGTTGCCTGTTCCGGCGTCCTGGGCATGTACTCGGAAGTTGTAAGGGCCGACTATGATGGGCTTTTTGCCCCGCTCTCTTCTTCTTCGACAATTTTCTTTGGGCTAGAAGATGGCTTTTGAGGCTAGCAGGGCGGGTGGAATCCCTCTCGTTTTGCGTTGAGCTCTCTCTCGCGCGCGCGCGTACTCAGAGAGGGTGAGCCATGTATTGTGACGATGCTTAATCCGGCATTCATCGTTGATCGTTGGTCGGTCCGGGACGGTGAGGGTTATCTCCCCGACCTGGAAGCCTCGTATAGAAGCCCAGCTCTCCGATTCTAGAAGGCTAGGGAATTTAGGACGTTGCTGAACGGTTGTCGTTTGACACGTGATGGAAGTACCGAGACGGGCTACGGGTACGGCCCCATGTAACCCTTTCCGGCGGTCTTGCGCGGGTTTCCAAGAAGAACGGCTGCGAGGGTTTCCAGTGTGAGGCTGGAGGGTCAAGTGGTGTCGTGGATTTCAGCCCAGCAAAGGCTGGAATGGCGTATCGAGTACCTATACTGCTCTTCTTGGGATGTGGGACTTGAGTAGGGGACTCGGTTCTCAGCTGGAGATGTCTCCAGCTCTTTGGGTTTTGATGTTTTTGATGTCGTGAGTTGGAGAGCGGCTGGTGGTGGAGGCTATGTTATCTTGTGTCACCTTGCCTTTGATGTCTACTTTTGGAAAGCTTCAGCGCGGGGGGGTCAGATTGAGAGTATGTTCCGATGCTTTGAAGGAGAGAGATTTTTGCTCCTCTATTTTTTTTTTTGAGTGACATGTAGTCTACGCCTCTCGACGTTCTCCCTGCCATGTAGGATGAATGGAGAAGGTGGTCTTGATATCTCACCCGGGACTATCCGCTTCGTTATTAGGCATGTACCTCATAGAGATCTTTATGGCCAAAGAGTCTTGACCGGGTCTCTTATGTGACGAGACATCTTATCGTCCCATGATTCGGGTTCCTCTCTCTCTATACCTGTTAACAGAGCCTGAGATCCTGTCCTCTCGAACCTGGAAAACCAGCTTTACCTTGTGTTTGTTCGTTTTGCCCTTGCTGATTACTCGAGCGATGCTTTGCCTTGTATATGCCACATCAACCAAGAATCTCCCGTCCTTTCATAACTTGAACGTCACCCATCAACCCTCGCCTGCATATTACCCCAGGTGCACCCAGAATCACTGCCTGATGAAGAAAGAATCACTGATTATAAACCCCTTCGCAGGCGGTCAAAATACACCCTCTTGTCCACGAACTGATGTGTAACTACACAGGAGCTCTTCAACCTCATCAACGCGAATACGAGAGTCGGATATCTTAGTCTCACTGGCTTTGGAGCATGATCGAAGCTGGATGGGATCGAGCCTCCGAGGGAAGTCATGTACAATCATATTATTGGAAACCATTCAGCAACGTGGTCCCCGAAGTGACCCCTACTCTATGCCCCCAGACTCGTTTTTAAGCCCAATGTATTGGGCTTCAATGTGAGTTACCCAACAGTACTCAATGCATGGCATTTATACACAAGTTGCCTGCTTCAGACATCTGCTACTATCCAAGTAGTTTTCGTATCGTGCAGATATCCAGTAATAGTCGATCCATGAGTAAAAGCCGGGCATTTACGAAAAGCCGATAGCCTCTATCCATGCTTGACCATGAGCTCAGTCACATCGTTATTTCCGTTTTGTCAGGCGTGCTCTCGATAAGCCATTGAACCAAACAGGCAAACAACTTTCACCTCTGGGAGATGCTTCCCAGAATCAATTAAAAGTCATCCAGGTGCATACTGAGGCGGCTGGCGCTAACATGGCAACCGCAGCAGTGATCGAAAGTCATATTTTGCGGTCTATAGTGATTCTTAGTGTGCTGACCTCAACTGTGAGCCACCACCTTGTTAGTCATATGCTGGATATGTAGAAAGTTCACTCGATTCGTAAAGACTCACATAACGAGCCAAGCCCCGTGAAAAATAATGTAACGCCCGTACCTTCCCTACTTTCCCTTCCTCCGATACATGCATCTAATGGATACAACTGAATAATACACCGGAAAGCCCCAGTCCCAATACCTACTCATATAGGTCACCCTCAAGTCCATTCCAATCGCCAGATAGCAGGCGCCCCCTTGAGGGTGAGGTCAAAATTGGCTGGGTGGTGGAGGGGCTCGAGTCCACGCAACAGCCTAATCGCTGAAGGCTAAGAGGTCCCGAGCTCACGTCCGAATATCCCAGCATGTGCGCCATAGATGTAGTCCCCATTCGCCACCGGGGGGGGGGGGGGGGGGGGGGGGCGCGTCAGCCCCCAACGCCGAAGAGGGAGGGGCGAAGGGGCCCCCCGGCGCCGCCCCAGACTCCCCAGGGGTGGGGGAGATGGGGGGGCCCCCGGGGGGGGGGGGGGGGGGGGGGGGGGAAGGGTTGAACTCTTTTTCTTCCCGTAGGTCTTGAGATGGTACATTGTCGGTAGATAGGATTCGGTCGACAACTTTCTTTTCCCCTCGAGATACTAGTGGGTGTAGGTGCACATGGCATCTACGCAGGATATAGGAATAGATGGGGAAATGTAGCTATGAACGGATGAGGACGGTTGAAAGGGTGTTTTCACCTCCTGAATTATTTGTAGGCAAACGGTCAATCGCCGCTTTCTAGACGTACTTTACAGCGCAGTCCCCGAGTCCCGCGTCCCATCTTCGTGCTCTATCTGGGACATGCCGTAGCCTCATGCCAGCGAGATGTAGACCCGTGCGTGCTTCCAAGTAAGCAAAAGTTCAAGTAGGTTTCCTCCAAGAGTCTCAGAGACTGATACCGAGGCGTACTGAGGCCATTGTCGGTGATCTTTGTCTGACAGCATCGTGGTATTTATATGCGCAGCCTCGTCCACGCTCGGCACAACGAATCTAGATACAGGAGATATATATGCCATTACACAACGAAGAAAATTCAATATATGGAAGGCGGAAAACTATAATTCGTAGCCGCGAGAATTGACAGTTGATAGCTACATCTATTAGACCTCCGCGCTCGTCTATCGCCTCGTTCAGTTCCTGAAGGGAAGGGGGGATGTTGAAGGAGTTCCGGGCCGTATCGTACGCCGACAAAATCGGCCATAAGACGCAGCGGAGTCTCATTCCTTTCTTCAAACAAGAGGGGTGATGACATGGTTACGGATGCCGAGGGGATGGCTATGGATTGAGGCATAACCCTAACATGACAAAAGTAACCCGCCAAAGATTGCAGGGACGGGGAGATCAGAAAACCTCTAAAAACGCAGTGTACATTCCGTCGTAGCAGAGATGAATGTACCCCCTGGCCGAGACTCTCGCCTGCTTCTATGATAGCTCGACAGAGGATAACCCCCATTTGGGCACATTCTCGTAATGTACCTAATAAGTATAGATATGACGGTTCTTAACCTCAACTTCTCACGTGTCTCTGAGACCTGATGGCAAATTGATTCTCCCTTGTCAGAGATACGTATTACCGCTCTATCCTTCGTCTGACACTTCTTGACTATTCGAAGTTTCAGGATGCGGTAGCGTGGGCCGCTCGTCTATCACACCCGACTGACTTTGCTGCCTTTGTTGATAGAATCATAGCTCGACGACGGTAATAAGTATTTTGACACGTAGGCATTAGCTCGACGATAGTAAACGACTGTCCCGAGAAGGTTGAGCATGCTCTGTCCTCACCGACTCAAGCTGAACCACGATCCAAAGAGCTGCCAATCGAGAACCCCATCTTATAGAAACGTAACCCCCCTCCGTGAAGCGGAGCTAGGTAGGGCATTCCTATCTCAAGCTCGACTTTCCCGAGACCAGCCAGAATCTCAACACCTTTTCTTCCACGACGGGCCCCTGTGACGAAGAAAGCCTCGTCCCAGAGAAGTCAACAGACCCGCAAGCCCAGTTCCTTGCCCTTCTTGCTCGAGAACAACTGAACGAAGAGCTAGCTTCTCCGGCTCTCCCTAGTCGTCCTTGTTGACGTCCTATAAAAGAACTGATCTTCTCCACAATGAGACACCGTTGGAAGAGACCGGACCTTTTCTCTCTCCTCCTGGTTCCCCAAACCCTATAAAACCCCAGTCAATCGTTAATAACATGTCAGATCTCACCAATCTAGTCTGGGGGATCCGATCTGATCCGATCCTGCCCCTCTCCCCGCACAAAACGTGTGATAATTCATGTCAAATATGATCACCCATGGGACAATTCCCGGCGGACAAATATGTCATATTAAAAGTCTTGGCCCTTTATCGTCCAATGCACCACCGTCATAACCACGGCGGAAACTCTAAAGCCAAAGAAGAACAACAGTAAAAGTGACATCACGAGCTCAGAAATCGTACTCGTAAGAGAGTGAACAGTTCAGACTTTTTTTTTTCTTTGCTTCGCATCAGAAACATTGGTGAACCACTCGCGGAAACCCAAGAAGGAAAGTGTTCAAAGATTCAGAGACATAATTGTTGCAGAAAAACCGGACGAACCACTGTCAGGCTTATTTGTGTCAGCAACACGAATTGACTTCAGACTTCCCGAGGCTCCGACATCTTTTTGCTGTCCAGTGCTCTCTCTCTGACCAGCAAAACGTCAGGAAGCAAGCAGCCCCCCGGCGCGAGCCGCATGATGTCAGTTAGTAGGTTCATTTGCTGCAAACACCACCTCAATATGGTAAGTTGGCCCTGTTCCCCCCTAACGCCTTAAAATAAGCTTGGAAAAGAAAGTAGATGCCATCGCCTAGTCAGTTCTTTTCTACCCGATTGAGAAATGAATATAGATACGTAGGACTGGCAGAAAATGGCTGCCTGTGTTGTGCACCACCATGCTACTCAGCCCAGTCCCCAGAGCCTCCGATTTGGTCTACGTTGTGTACTTCCGCAACGGTATCAGGAGCTCAGCGTCATCTTCAGCACTGGAAGGTTCATACCTGCCTAACCCAGGAACCGGTTTGGAAAAAAACCCAAAACCATTAATGGCCGAATATTCGATCCGATGTTCTCTTTCCGCGGATGAGCTGCCACCAAGCGCATGAGGGACCTTGCATACTTGTATTCTTGCAATACCGAGAATACCGAGGCAAAGCGTACGCGAGTCAGGAAGTTGGGATGTTGTCATGGCCGAGCTCATCGCACCCCGCGCCTCACGTTCAGAATCTCTATGGATGGCGTCCATCCGATGTTGGGACCGGGAGCCATTCGCAGTCTGATACATGATCTCCTTCTGCCACCGAGACACGTCACTTGAGGCTCGGCTTCGCCTCCGAACCATGACCTACCTACGCATTCACTCGGGCTTTTTATAGTCCAGTCCCGATAAGCCCTCCACATGCCGGGCAAGGTGGTGCCCTGATTGCTCATTGAGCGAAAACAAGCTTCCGAGGCCTGCCATCTGTGGCTTTCCTGGGCTGGCAAGGCTTCAATGACATCGGCAAACTTTTCGCCTGGCGGTCATAGCATTGAGTTGCGGGAGGCCCCTTTACCCCAGCCCGTCGATCGCACTCACAAATAGTACCCCATCTGTAACGCAAAAGTCCGCTGCAGTGGAGGTCTCAGGGGAAAGTGAAAGACGGTGTGAAATCGCTGGTTACCAGTCGTTGGAATAGCCGACGGCTGACGGTATCGTTCCACCAACCAGCGCCGCAACGGTGAATGCCCCAGCCTCGCCGCAGAGACGGGCTCGCCGACCATGCAGTCGGGACACCCGCGCTGGAAGAATGCACTGGCGCGCCGGAGAGGGCTGTAAACGGAGCCGGGATTCGGAGTCACGGCACTGAAGCATCGCTCATCCAGGAGCCAATCCCTGGTTCTTCTCGTCCGAGCATTTGATGGGCGGAATGAAGTAATTGAAGGCTGAAGGCGAATACGATTGCGACTTCTTTTGCCATGGTTCCTGAGGCTGAAAAGCGTCATCTCATGTCCACAGCTGGAAAACCTGGGAGAGTGGCCGAACTGGATACGGGTCGTGGATGTTGGTTCGCTGTCCAAGCCAGAAGGTTGAAGGTTCAAAACCCCGTGTGAGGTGGAGAGGGCCCGGTTGCCGCCCCTCCAAGCAGTGCAAATAAACGAGCGTAGAGCCGACTGATAGGCGCGTAGGGCAGAGAGGTCGTCGATATTGTTGGATCCCTCCGTCTGTGTAATGCAGAGTAGTACAGATACTCTGTTGCACGTGTGCAGTCCTTGAGCAAAGGGTTCGTGTGGCCACTGAGGCTGATGATGGCTGAGGTTCGGAACTGGCCGCAAGCGTGCTGAGTAGTAGAACCCATACTCCGCCCAACAGCAGGTATTTGATTTTGACTCGTAGCGAGGCGTAAGCAGCGGCTCACTGGGCTCGGGGCAAATTCCTTTGTGACAACAGTGGAAGAGTGCATTCATCCCGTCCACCGCCAAATGTGTTATGCAGCGATGCGAGGCGTGGTGGGTGCACCGCCTCAGCCCCAGTCGATCAGCCCCAGCCCAATCTTACTATTTTTGGGTCTCCTCCTGACGGATCCCCGTATCCGAACTGGCCAAAGGCAACAACAAACAACTTGCACGCAGGCGACAGAAAGTCGAAATAACGAATCTCTGATCTGGTTGGGGGTACGTATGCCCACAACGTAAACCTCGGGTGGAAGCCCGTTTTCTTGAGTTGCTACTGCGGCTATTAGTGCGGCGAATGAGTAGAATGGTTTCGTTGTGATCAGGCGAGAGAGGGAAAAAAGAGAAGACAACGAAGGAGGGCATAACGATGACGGGCGAGCTCGAGACATCAGACTGAACGAATGTGGTGCTTGCGCCGTGGGTTGGAAATATGACAGGAAAAAGATTACAGCAGGTTCCAGGCCATTAACGTGTGAAAATTGCAGCTCCGAGAGGGACGAGCAAGCATGTGCTTGTCTTCATGTCATGAACTGGCGGTGCCTGTCGACTGTCCATGACGATACCTAGGTGAGAGAGGAGCTGGCGAGATTTGGCTGCCAGCTGGTACGGAAGCTGGAAAAGCCAAGGCGTTGGGTAGGGCGAGGGGGGCACGTTTCAGAATGTTCTTGGAAGCCACAGGATCCCGGGCGACAAGTGGATCGTTAAGAGGTACACGCGTCTCACATAGATGTGGAGGGTGATACAGGCGGCGCCACTAACAAGCCAATGTCGTTTCTTGAGATGCTTGTTGCCTCAGTCAGGATTCGCCATACGATGAGTACGCAGTACGTCTACACAGTAGACTCTCTAGACCCTGCCACTCTGGAGTCTGACGGGACTGCGGAAGAGGTACTGAGCGGCAGTAGCTCTCTGCTTCTGGGCCTTACAATGTCATGCCTTTCTTCTGTCATGCCACGAATTATGAGACCCCCCCTGACAGCCCTGGCTTTGAACACACTCGGGAATGCTTGTCAGCTTGCTGGGTTCTGTCTGCCGTCAGCTTTTTTGTCCATCCTCTGTGAGTTGCTTACTAGGTAGCTGCAGCAGTCCTGTATATCCTGAATCTCTTCCACTCTCTCAGTACTGCAGTCTGACGGGAGTCTGAGTCTGACAGCAATGATGAGATGGAAGAGGGGCCGAGGAACGACAATGAGGCGAAAAGTCTGCCGAACATGAGCCACCGTTGCTGTTCCTTCCCGCAGCACTGCTCGTTCCTCTTCCCAATGGAAACCAAGGATGATGGCTGGATTGCTGGTGGTGGCACGACAGATGCCGGCAAGGGGACGGCGTTTCTTTTAGCTTCCACCTTCTCCTTTTCCTTGCCGGCGCGTCCATCCATCGCCGCCGCAACATTCCCCTTGAAGGCAGTCCGTCATTGAGCCAGGACAGGTGTGCTTGGCCGGCTCTGTTCGCTGCTGGCAGTCACCAACTATGCTGGTTTTGTTGCTGTTGCATAGGTGCACAGGTGCATAGGCACCCCTCCTTCTCCTGAAGAGCAATGCTGGCAGTAAATGGGCGTTGATTGCGAGGTGTTTCTAGAGTCGATCCCAACCCCAAATGGACCGATTGAAGGCGCAAGGCCAAGGGGTATACGAAATGCAAGGGCCAAGGGAGCAACGGCCGGGGGTTTCGACTTGGGGGGAGACGTGACGTAGTTGGATGCGGGCCCGATTTTTATTTTCTCAAGAGTGCAACCTTCGGAGACGTCGACGTTGGAAGTGCGATTCGACTGGTTGGCCGCCAGCTCGTGATGAGCATCGGCGCGGTTGTTGTCTTGGTTTGCTGGACTGCTGCTGGCTGGTTAGCAATGGCTAGCGACAGCAACCGCGACCATCCGACCAGGTTGCTAGGATCCATCATGAAAGAACCTGACAGAGGAAAGAAAAAGATGGAGGGACAGGGTTAACGACGGTCGACGGCATTGGCTTTCCTGGCCGGCACACGACTGGGACCAGGACCACCCGCTGGCCTGGGGATGAGACTGATGGCAGCCCTTCCTAGCCAGTCCATCCGTTGTCTGTCACTTGCGCAGTAATAGTGCACTGACGTTGAGGTTTCCGAAAAGCGAGGTGAGGTTTAGTGACGGATGTGCTGCATACGGAGCAGACAGTAAGGAGTGCCCTTCGATCCGTATCAAGGAGAGGTCTTGCTTACGTCAATGGGCCCCTTGGATGTCCATGGGTATGCCGACTCCGGGAGACGGGATGATGATGCTATGCTGGTGCTGGTGCTGGTGCCTTTACTCAGGTTGTGTTGTTCAGTTGTTCATCGTGCAGAAACGCGATGCCTGGGCTAAGCAGCGCTAAGCCACAGCTTCCCCAGTCTGTTGACATGAGGTGAGAATATGGAGCAAGCTAATGAAAGGGGACCAGGAAAAAAAAAAGAGACAGTGACGCGAGGTACCATTCCTTCACTTTGCTGCAGACTATGGAGCAGCCCAGGGTAGGTAAGGTACCTTGGTTTTCTGTGTCTACCGTGCCTTGGCTCAAGGTGCAGCAAGAAAGAAGGAACGAACGACAGTACCTGCTCGGTATAGCACAACATACGTAGCCAAGGCAGGTGAGGTAGGTAGGTAGGTACGAATATTCATAGTCGGGAAGGAGGAAAGCAGCAACAAGTCTCATCTCCTCGTTTGTACCTCGTCTCAGGGAAACAGGCTGGGGAGTGATGCAAAAGTGACTTCTCCTTTTCTCGTGCCGCACCATCTCCATGTACCTTGTGTCCTTGAATTTGGTCTCCTTCTCCCTCTCTGCCCGTACTGCTGCAGCAACGGAAAGGAAACTGTCTGCTCGCTGCCGAGTCCCCATCCTCATCTTCGCCCACCTCAGCCCAGTCGGGCCAATCCTAGAGCTATTCTCATCCATCCTAACTACCTCAGCCATCCTCTCCACCTGGCGCTTCCACGCTCGCTCTCACCTAGCTGCAGGTTTCTGGTTCCCACCAAGCAAGGCCACCAGCCCGTCAGGACCCTTTTTTAACCATTTGCTGCCCCATCCTGCATCACCACCCTCTCCCCTTCTACTCCTCCTGCCCCCCAGCCCTCCATCCATCTTTACATCCTTCTCTTTTTTTTTCCTCCTTCGCTTCACCAATCGTTACTGGGGTTGTGGCTTTCTTGGCCGCACATCTCTCTAACCTACAGCGCCTTTGTTCGCGCTCATCGCGTAACACAACCAACCCTACCTAGGCTTCTCTGCCCGAGTCCCTCGGCTGACGATATAATCAATCCTACCTAATCTTGTCCGCAACGAAGCAGTGGAAAAAAACCTTTCCCACTATTCATCGCATTCATACCAGCATCAGCTACTCCTGAACCCGCCTCTAGCAATCATGGCTTACCGCGGGGGGCATGAAAACGATTACGATGGCGGCCACAATATGCAGGACCTTCCGCCTGGATCTGGCAGAGGAGTAAGCTTCACCTCCCATGAGCTCACCGCACAAAGCAGTCTCCATTGCTAACCTGGATCTTCTCCCCAGTACCATCTGCCTCCTCAAGATGAGGGAGTTGACGAAGCCGGCCAATCTCTTCTGAGAGACCCTCACGCACCTGCTCCCTACGAGAGCCACCTTGGAACAGGCGAGACCCCTGGCCGTCCAGTCTCCGCATACAGTCTCACAGAATCATACGCTCCTGGTGCCGGAGCTCGGACACCAGTTCCTGGCGAGACAGCTTTCGCGTCTGGCTACAGCAATGAGCTCGACTCGGATGCTGGTGGTTTTGGCTATGGAAACAGACCCCCCTCCACCGTGGATGCCGACGAGAGCTGGACCCGCAGACAGCAGCCCGGCAACCAAGGTGGCGGTCTGAAGCGTTACGCGACCCGTAAGATCAAGCTTACTCAGGGCTCCGTCCTGAGCATCGACTACCCAGTCCCCAGTGCCATCAAGAACGCTGTTCAGCCAAAGTACCGCGATGTTGAGGGCGGCAGCGAAGAGTTCATGAAGATGCGCTACACCGCCGCCACTTGCGACCCCAACGACTTCACCCTCAAGAATGGTTACGATTTGCGCCCGAGAATGTATAACCGACACACCGAGCTCCTCATCGCAATTACCTACTACAACGAAGACAAGGTGTTGCTCTCTAGAACTCTCCACGGTGTCATGCAGAATATCCGCGACATTGTCAACCTGAAGAAGTCTACCTTCTGGAACAAGGGTGGACCGGCTTGGCAGAAGATTGTCGTCTGTCTGGTTTTCGACGGTATCGAAAAGACCGACAAGGCCGTGTTGGACGTTCTCGCAACCGTCGGTATCTACCAGGATGGTGTCGTGAAGAAGGATGTCGACGGAAAGGAGACAGTCGCTCACATCTTCGAGTACACCTCTCAATTGTCCGTCACGCCCAACCAGCAGCTTATCCGCCCCGTTGACGACGGCCCATCCACTCTCCCGCCTGTGCAGTTCATTTTCTGCCTGAAGCAAAAGAACAGCAAGAAGATCAACTCCCACAGATGGCTTTTCAACGCCTTCGGCCGCATCTTGAACCCGGAAGTCTGCATTCTCATTGATGCTGGTACCAAGCCTAGTCCCCGCTCGCTGCTCGCGCTTTGGGAGGGCTTCTACAACGACAAGGACCTCGGTGGTGCTTGTGGTGAGATTCACGCCATGTTGGGCAAAGGCGGCAAGAAGCTGCTCAACCCCTTGGTTGCCGTCCAGAACTTCGAGTACAAGATCTCCAACATTTTGGATAAGCCTCTCGAGAGCTCTTTTGGATATGTCTCCGTGTTGCCCGGTGCTTTCTCCGCCTACCGCTTCCGCGCGATCATGGGTCGCCCGCTGGAGCAGTACTTCCACGGTGACCACACTCTTTCTAAGATCCTTGGTAAGAAGGGTATCGACGGAATGAACATTTTCAAGAAGAACATGTTCTTGGCAGAGGATCGTATTCTTTGCTTCGAGCTGGTCGCCAAGGCCGGCCAGAAGTGGCACTTGTCGTACATCAAGGCCGCCAAGGGTGAGACCGATGTTCCCGAGGGCGCTGCCGAGTTCATCTCTCAACGTCGTCGTTGGCTCAACGGTTCCTTCGCTGCCTCTCTGTACTCCCTCATGCACTTTGGTCGCATGTACAAGTCCGGCCACAACATTATCCGCATGTTCTTCTTCCACGTCCAGCTCATCTACAACATCCTCCAGGTTATGTTCACATGGTTCAGTTTGGGTTCCTACTACCTGACTACGACGGTCATCATGGATCTTGTCGGTACTGCCGTCACCTCCGACGACCCCGATGTGGCCCGCAGCGGTTGGCCCTTCGGAGACACCGCCACTCCTATCGTTAACGCCCTTCTTAAGTACCTCTACCTGGCCTTCGTTATTCTGCAGTTCATCTTGGCTTTGGGTAACAGACCCAAGGGTTCTAAGTACACCTACATCGCCTCTTTCGTCGTCTTCGGTCTCATTCAATCCTACATCCTGGTCCTTTCGATGTACTTGGTTGTCCAGGCCTTCCAGAAACCTATTGGCGAGCAGATCAGTCTCGACTCCGGTGAGGATTTCGTTGCTAGTTTCTTCGGAGGCACAAACGCTGCCGGTGTCATTCTCGTCGCCTTGGTCACTATCTACGGTCTGAACTTCATCGCTTCCTTCATGTACCTCGACCCCTGGCACATGTTTACCTCTTTCCCTCACTACCTGGTGCTCATGTCGACCTACATCAACATTCTCATGGTCTACGCCTTCAACAACTGGCACGATGTGTCTTGGGGTACAAAGGGTTCAGACAGTACCGAGGCTCTACCTTCTGCACACGTCAGCAAGGGTGAGAAGGATGAAGCTGTGGTAGAAGAAATCGACAAGCCGCAAGAGGATATCGACAGTCAATTCGAATCGACGGTCAAGCGTGCGCTGGAGCCTTTCAAGGAAACTCCGGAGAACGAGAAGCCGGACATCGAAGACTCGTACAAGTCTTTCCGTACGGGTCTGGTTGTGTCTTGGCTCTTCTCCAACACCTTCCTTATCATCGTCATTACGAGTGATAACTTCAACTCGTTCGGCATTGGCGTAAGTTCAAAGGTCCCGAAACACGAGTCCATTACCATACTAACTCTCATTTCTAGAAAACTGCATCAGCACGTACTGCTTCTTACTTCAGCTTCTTGCTGTACTCTACTGCCGTCTTGTCACTTGTCCGTTTCTTCGGATTCCTGTGGTTCTTGGGCAGGACCGGTATCATGTGCTGCTTTGCCAGACGGTAAACAGACAAACGGAGGAGATTGTCCAAACAGGCGCCGAATCTCTCGACGCGTGTTGGATGTGTATCAGAAGGAAGACTGTACTCTTGCCAGCTTTGGCTCATTGCTACGAATCCGCTTGTGTTTTTCATTCTGGGCATGTGTTGAGTAATAAAGGACACGGGACTCGGCAGATTCTTGATGAAGTGGGCGGAAGCTCAGTAAAAGTAGTTTCGATTAAGCAGCATTCATGGCGTTTTACATGGATACAATACCTTACGCTTAGTATCAGACAATGACAATGATTTCAAACATGATTCCTCAATCCACATGGACGGATCTTCGGAGACTGGTGATCAACTTTGAACGCATCTGATTTCACAGACTTATTGCATGCAATCGAGCGGTAAAATAGAAGCTTCCGGTCAACTTGGCGGCTGTATGAAAACGCGCGGGTATTGGCCGACCACGATACATGGACGCTGACAAACCAACGACCTTTGAGCATCCCAACCCCAGAGTGCTTCCGTCCTTTCATGGCTGTCTTTGCATTTCTTCATTTGTTCGGATTGCTGTTGTTCAATAGTTGTTCAACGACCGGGGTCTGAGGCAAGCTGACAAGAGTGGTTCTAGGTCGGTAGATCCCCGGGTAAATAATACACCCACGCTATCTTATCGCAACCAGAAAGTGACCGCATTGACTGGTGCCCAGTTGGTCCGCTCCTCCAGGCACCTTCCCGTCCCAAGACCGCAAGACTCCGGACAGAGACGATTACCTTATACTTAAATTGTTGTTCAACTGCTTGGTTACCGCGCAAACACCACTGATTCAGGAAAACACCATCTTCCACCCAGGTCGTGTGCGTGCCCTCGTTCTCCGTCTCGCCCTTCTCACAGAGCGCCCCACCAACTCCTCCTACCAGACACCCCGCGAGAGATCGGACAAGATGCTAAAGATTTGGTCTATGGTATGTGACCACCGGAACATCTCGGTTAAGGGGACTACTAACGCCTCTTACAGAAGAAGGAGCAGCAGAAGGCTGAAAATGCCGACGCTGCGGGTGGCAAGAAGAAGAAGGTGACTGCCGCGCAACTTCGAGTGCAGAAAGGTCTGAACCCCTCAGCCAGCCAAGGAAAGAAAATCGTGACCTCGTTGCTCACGCTCGCTTCCAGATCTCTCGGAACTATCTCTCGGATCAACAATGAAGACCGACTTCCCTGACGCTGACGACATTCTCCACTTCACGCTTACGATCGAGCCCGATGAGGGCATGTACCGGACCGGACGATTCACCTTCACATTCGACATCAACCAAAACTTCCCTCACGAGCCGCCAAAAGTCCGATGCAAGGAGAAGATCTACCACCCTAATATCGATCTGGAGGGCAAGGTTTGCCTGAACATTCTGCGCGAAGACTGGAAGCCCGTTCTCAACTTGAACGCGGTCATTGTCGGACTCCAAGTATGTTGACGAGCAGAAAGCACGATTCTGGGTGGGCACCAACTAACAGACCTCTTTTTGTAGTTCCTGTTCCTCGAACCGAATGCCTCCGATCCTCTGAACAAGGAGGCTGCCGATGATCTAAGACTCAACCGCGAGGGATTCAAGCGCAATGTCCGGACCGCGATGGGCGGTGGCACTGTCCAAGGGCAGAGCTACGACCGTGTGTTGAAATAAGATCTGCAACAGCAAGGAGATAGCGTCCATCTCGCTGCTGGACTTTTCTCTAACGACATGACCGTTTGGCGAGACAAGAGGCCAGCCCGGATTTGATACCAGAGACGGACGGACAGGCTGCTGGTTCGCGGAAGGGTGGAATGCGCATCTGAAGGGTCGGTGGGCATCAAAAGCAAGCATCGTCGTCAGGCGTTTGGGGAGACAAGATTACAAATTACAACAGGTCAAGGTTCTGGCAAGACATCAAGCCCAGTTTAGAGATAGCACTAGCGAGGGCGCAGCACAGAAGGGTTCGTTGATGCGCTGTGGAAGGCGGAAGTCAGACTGAAGACGAAGATGTGGTGACTGGCGGGAAGAAGTGATGAGTTTCGAGAGGTCGCAGAAGCATAGCTGGAATGCAAACAGCGTTGCCGTGTCACGGCAGGAGAAGAAGCAAACATGGAGAATGGAAGCCAATCACCGGGCCGATTGACTCCCCCATAATGGTATCCGTACTCCATACAAGAAAGTTGAAAAGAAGAGTCAGAGCTCATCAAAGGAGGAGTCACAGCAGCTCAGCGCCGGCGACCGGTCAACAGCTGTAGCTGCAGAGAGAGGCCGAAGGCATAGGTCAACGGCCGTAGCCGGCGCTTAGTAGTCGGTGAGATTCCGCCTGCGGCCCATCTGGTGTGACTCCTGTCTGGCCACTGGGCTACGATGTCGGTGTGGTTGGCTCTCCCCTGCTCCACAGCACCCGCCTCGCCGGCAATAACGTTGATTGCTCCCCAAGGTTCTTAGGTAAGGCCGCTGTCAAATGAGAACCGGACCAAGTAGAGGCTACCCGCCTGGTCCAGCAAAGTCCCTGCCTTCTCCAAAGTCCCCAGTACCCGCTCTCCCACTTGGAGGACCCCCTACCGAACCCCGGACGCTTCCAGACATCTTCCCCACCATTGGCACAGGCCAGCAGCAGGACGACGCAGCAGGCTAACCCACCAACGACCAAGCTGGGCCGAAGTCGGGGGTCAGCTCGCCCGTCTCTACGCCAGTAAAAAATTTCCCAATTCCAAACGCCTTTTTCTCATCAGTGAAACTCTGTTTTCTTCATCCATCTCTTCCTTCTTCTTCCTTACAATTGACTTGTACGGATACCCTCTCCACTCCCTCCTCCCCCAACACACAGTCAGAATGGCCTCCCGCAGCTTCTCCAAGGCGCTTCGTTCGCCAATGGCCCGCCAATTGGCGGCCAAGCCTGCTACTCAGCAGCGCACCTTCGTTGCTGCCCGCCAGCTCGTCCGCGCCTCTGCCCAGGTTAATAAGGCTTTCGTCGCTCCTGCTCAGCAGCAGGCTCGCGGTGTCAAGACCATGGACTTCGCCGGCCACAAGGAGGACGTCTACGGTAAGGAAACCGACCAGAGCTGACGAGTCTTTTTGCCTCGTTGCGAATGACTCGCAGGGAAGTCAGAGGGAGAGATTTGCTGACGTTGATGCTACAGAGCGTGCCGACTGGCCCCAGGAGAAGCTTCTTGTGAGTCACAAACAATCATGAGGGCTCGGAAGGGAGTCAATTGGAACTGACAATCGTTTGTAGGAGTACTTCAAGGACGACACCCTCGCCCTCATCGGCTACGGCTCCCAGGGTCACGGCCAGGGTCTTAACCTCCGTGACAACGGCCTCAACGTCATCGTCGGTGTCCGCAAGAACGGCCAGTCCTGGAAGGACGCCCAGCAGGACGGCTGGGTTCCCGGCAAGAACCTCTTCGATGTCGATGAGGCCATCTCCCGCGGTACCATCGTCATGAACCTTCTCTCCGACGCCGCCCAGTCCGAGACCTGGCCCGCCATCAAGCCCCAGCTCGTCAAGGGCAAGGTGCGTCATTTCTCGCACAATTGAGCAAACAGCTCAATTGGGGCCTCAAAGCTGACATTGAATACAGACCCTCTACTTCTCCCACGGCTTCTCCCCCGTCTTCAAGGACGTCACCCACGTCGACGTCCCCAAGGACATTGACGTCATCCTCGTCGCCCCCAAGGGCTCTGGCCGCACCGTCCGCTCCCTCTTCCGTGAGGGCCGTGGTATCAACTCTTCCTTCGCCGTCTTCCAGGACGTCACTGGCAAGGCCAAGGAGAAGGCCCAGGCTCTCGGTGTCGCCATCGGCTCCGGCTACCTCTACGAGACCACCTTCGAGAAGGAGGTCTACTCCGACCTGTACGGTGAGCGTGGCTGCCTCATGGGAGGTATTCACGGCATGTTCCTCGCCCAGTACGAGGTTCTCCGTGAGCGCGGCCACTCCCCCTCCGAGGCTTTCAACGAGACCGTCGAGGAGGCCACCCAGTCCCTGTACCCCCTGATCGGTGCCAACGGCATGGACTGGATGTACGAGGCCTGCTCCACCACCGCCCGCCGCGGTGCCATCGACTGGTCCCCCAAGTTCAAGGACGCCCTCAAGCCCGTCTTCAACAGCCTGTACGACGCCGTCAAGGATGGCTCCGAGACCAAGCGCTCCCTGGAGTACAACTCCCAGAAGGACTACCGCCAGAAGTTCGAGGCTGAGATGGAGGAGATCCGCAACCTTGAGATCTGGAGAGCCGGCAGAGCCGTCCGGTACGTTTTGACAACACTCGATTTTATACACATTGATGATCACTGGCTAACATCTATCTTTTCTACAGCTCTCTGCGTCCCGAGAACCAGAAGTAAGCGGTTCGGCGTTTTTGCTTTGGGAGAAGATAAAAATTTTACTCGGAATGGCCATTTCTTAACCACTGTGCCGGGGACGGGGGACTTTTGTACTTTATATGACCGGATTCTAGGGGATCTGGGCCTGGTTCAAAAGTTTGCATCTTGACTTTTGGGATCCTTCAATACCATTTCTTTTGCTGTCCATGAACACAATGTTTCAATCATCTCGTCTTTTTTACGTCAATTGGTGATTGTGCAAATGTCTGTGCCTGTTCCCGGAGATGTCGGGTTATGCAGGGACCCAAGACTGACTCGTCAGGCCCGTTGATACTTTACACAGATTGCGCTAACTGCTGCTGGACCGGGACCAAGTTGGCACCCCCACGCCCGCGGTAGTGTTTTTGACTTTGGGGACATTTGCTGACAATGCAGCGGCGGTGTGGTGTTGCATGCGGCCGCAAGTTTCATGGCGATGTTGAGTCCACGGTCAGGACTTCAGAAGTACAGCCTCCGATGCTCGGTCAAGTTCGAGCACGCTCGGTACCAGTAGATTCTGGTCAATTAGATGTGCCCGGGAGTTTGTTGCACGGAAGAAATCAATTTCCCCTTTTTCAATTCGTGGTGGGAAATGACGTGGTCACTGTGCTCTAGCTTCGCGCAAGACGAGCACTACCCTTGCTGAGATATGAAGGAACGGATTTACACGTATAAATATTGTTGTCTATCTCGCCTAGTTAATTACTTTTACCTAGACCGTCGCTGTACTGCTGCACTTTCACATGCGTCCCATTTGACCAGTTTCCTGCATCGCACAGGCAGTGCCCTTCCGAAACTCTGAAAGCCTGACGTGAAATGTCGGAGCTAGGTCGCTGCAACTTATGAGGTCTAGCTGGAGAGGGTCATAGCTGAATTGATTTTGGGTGTTATATTACGATCCTTGGAGTTGCTACAAGCTTCACCTCAATAACCTGTGTGAGTCTTTGAGAGAAGGCGATTCGAGAATAGAGGCCAACCTCACCTTCCGCGCTATCGGTGACGTCGGTGAAGAGCCTCGGTGTGCGAATTTGCTGTAGCGACCCTGAGCCCCACCAACCCCCTTTGTCTGTGCATTCTCTCGGTAGTCGTTGCTCTGTCAACAGCAAACAAGCCTGGGCCCCTTCGCACCCCCTTCATCTCACAAGCGAGCCCAAAATGGGGTTTTGCTAGACATCCTATCGAAATATCAATCAATTGACGATTTACCTCACCTTAGTTTTCGCGCTTCCAACACTTGCAAACCAAACGAAACCTCTTCTAGCTTTTTTGGAGTTCGCGCACAATGACGCCGTTGTCACCGACAAACGAATCAAGACTGAACACTGCAACGACCCTGACTGAAGAGGCAACAAGCCGCGGTTTCTTTGAGCACTGCGAAGTGGTCCACTCCCGCACTGAGACAACCACGAGCGGCGGTAATGAGAGCGGCAGCGACAGCTCCTCCACCACCACAACCACAACCAACACCACAATCACCTCTTCGAACTCCGTAGACGACAACGCCCGAGACCAGGAGAACATGCCACCTTCTCCCTCGGATTCCTCGCCGTCGCCGCCGCCCTCTGCGCCGGCGACGGCAATTAAGCCGCAGCGCCACTCACGCGTCATGTCTGGCACCGCACCCTCACCGCTCAAGCTACTCGCCGGCTCCGAGACAACGGAAAAGCAAGCGCGGAGCCCGCTTCGCAAGACAGTAATCTCGCCTGACGGCGTCAAACGCTTCCCTATCAGAGTCAGCAACCCGTCAGTCGAGCCCGCATCACGCTCCATCTCTCCTCCGACCGTATCTCCTCCGCCTCGCGAACGCACAATCAGTCTTGAAGACGCCATGCGCGACAACGAGGGCTTGAAGCACGCTATTCAGATATTCGAGGACGATGATACGGAGCTGGAAAATGACGAGACCATTGGCGGCGACACGACCACTATGAGCGCCGGCGAGGGTGACGGAGACCACCCCGACTTGGGCCACGCGGGCTACGAGGACCAGAGCAGTCTCGCCAATCCCGACGAGTCGATGATGAGTGCATTCAGCACCTTCTCTGCCGTTCCCAATCTGACCATGTTCGCGAAACTGGGTCAGTCTCCCACAAAGTACGCGAGCGTCGGCGGCATGACCCCGCGAGGGAGGCCAGAGACCGTGCACGAGCAGCAGGAGACTCCAAGGCGGCATTCGGGACAGGACTCTGATGGTAACACTACCAATCTGTTGGAATTCACGGCCAGCCAGCGATTCCCGCACAAATCGCCGTCCAGGCGGGGCAACACCTCGCCCTCCAGAGCAAACCCTAATGCCACGCCGGCCCGCCAAATGTCGAACCTCCTCGACTTTGACATTCCCGCCCTGCCTACTCCCCGCAGCATCCCGACCATTACACCCAGAGAACTCGAAAGTCTAAAGTCGAATTTCCTGTCCGAAATCAGCAGCCTCAAAGCATCGCTATTGGGCAAGGAGGCGGAGGTGACCTCTCTGAAGACGGCTGTGGGCGATGCGGAAAAACGAGTCGGCGAGAGCTTGGAGCAGGCCCGTGAAGAGCGGACGATGCGAGAGCAGGTCGCCGAAGAGAAGGAGATGTGGGAGAAGAGCAGTCGCGAGATGGAAAAGGTTCTCCGGAGCGTAAAGGAGGAAATTGTCCACACGCAGCAGGAGCGCGAGGAGCTCGAATCCAAGCTTGCAGAGAGTGAGGGACGACGCGAGGCCGCCGAGACTATGGCTCAGGAGGCCGAGAGTAAGCTGGCGAGTTTCCGCGCCGGCAAGTCCACTGACGACAAGCCCTCCTCGCCCAGGGGCGGTGCGGCCGCGACCTCCAAGGAGGTTGAGATTGCGGTGGAGCGCGTGGCCCGCGAGCTGCACGCTCTCTACAAGGGCAAGCACGAGACCAAGGTTGCGGCGCTCAAGAAGAGCTACGAGACCCGCTGGGAGAAGAAGGTACGCGAGCTGGAGGTCAAGATTGAGGAGCTCACCGAGGAGAACGACAAGATCCGCCGAGACAGCACCATCACTCGCGTCGATCCCGCCCAGGTCGCCGCCGAAGAGGAGTTCAAGGCCCAAGCCGTCCGCGACTCAGCCCACATCAAGGAGCTCAGCGCCGACGTCCACAGGCTTGAGGCCGTCGTCATGTCGGTCAAGAGAGACAACTCGGAGCTTCGCGACCTCCTCGCCCAGGAGCGCGTCGAGAAGGGTGAGCTGGTTCAGCTCGCCGAAGAGATGATGGCGATCCAGAACGCCGCGCCTCCGCCGCCAACCCCGGCGCCCAAGCCCGCGCCGACACCTGTTGCCTCGCGGACACCTGGTCCCCCGGTTAGAAGCCACACGGAGAACAACTTCCGCAGCAGCATCGGCCGCAGCTCGGGCCTTAAGGCGCCCGGATCCATTGCCGCGCGTGGCTCCCTTCACGAGCGTAACGGCAGCGCTGGTCCCGCCACCAAGGGCCTTCCGAGACCCAGGCCGATGAGTGAGTTCGGGCCCCGGAGCGGCATCATGAGCTCGATCGAGAAAATGGGTAACTATCGCGGACGCGGGGACTAGAAGACCCAGTCGTCTTGATGAAAAAACGGCCTCCTTTTGAATTGGTTGGTAATACCATACCTACCTTTTCTTCTATTTTCTTTTCTTAATTTCTAAATTTACCCACGAAACGAACGAAACCAAACGATGAACGGAACAAAGCATTGCAGTGGCGGGTGGAGAGTGAAAGACAGCAACTGTCTGAGTGGAGTGAAGATGATGAGGGGGAAGCAAGGAGAGAAGAAGCAGAGGAAGAAGACGAAGAGCATTGACGTAACGAACTGGCGTCTACGGGGTCCTGTCTTTCCGGGCTTTTTTGCTTTGGTTATTTCCATGCTTATGGATAACAGGGCTTTTGTTTATTTGTTCCAACTCCCCTTAAATGACACTGAAATGACTATAAGGGAAAAAAGGGACACGAAACGAGAGGTGGTGGCGTTTTTGTTAATCTTGGTTGGAGACGTTCTTGTTGTTGTTTAATGGGCGACGACCGTTACACTCCCCCTCCCCCTTTTTCGTGTTGGAGTTTTGACCATACCTGTTGGACGAGTTAAACTCCACGTTCTGGAACCCAACACCCTTTCTTCTACCATAACTCTTTGAATTGGTAATGTTCAGTTTTTTTATTGCACATATTCAACTTTTCTCCCTCTCTGTCTCTCGTGTGTGTGTGTACGTGTTATGTATTGCGTGTTGGGGGTGGTGTGGGCAGATGAGGATGTGAGTCTGAGTGTGGATGTAGGGCGAACTACAAGTACACCTTTTCTGGCTATTGTCTAATCTCTCGGGCCTGGTGCCTCGCGGCGGCGGTGTTGTGTGTATCTGTCTTGTATGTCTTGTTATGGATACGTGAAGTCCGCATGACGGTGCCGTCTCTTGTTTTTCGGGAGAGATGGGACTGCTGAGGTGGTCTGCGAGCTCATGGGATGACGAACGATTTGGAGATCCTGCCATGGGATGGATGGTTGGCGTCTGGAGATCCGATCGATATTGTTATTGTCGCGGGATGAGGTGGAGATGGTGGTTATTAGCTTCTTGAGGACGTAGTTAGGCGGAAATTGGAAACTGTGCACGAAAGATGGACGAATGGATGCTTGTGTGTGTGTGTGTTGTATTTCTGTGCCCTCCATCTATCTTTGTGATGTGAGATGGCGAAGTTTCTACGATGGGGACAACGCACATTGCGAGATCCCGTCTGCCGATCTGTTTCCCTGGTAAATACAAGCCCATCCGAACACCAGGTGAGGGAGGTTCTTGACGTTGACCTGGAATAAGTATACACGTGCAGGCTGTGGAAATGCATCCCGAAGTCTTGATATCAAACATCTGGCTTCAATAGAAAGCAACTGTACTAATGACTGACTGTGAATCGCAATGTTAGACCATAGACATGTTTGCACGCCTACGACACGCCTGTCTGTCTTTTTGATATGATGATGGCCGGCCTTGTTCATGGTACGCAGTCGGTCAGACGCAGAAAAGGAAGTTCATGAGGCGGGAATGCACTTCGTGCACCCATTTGAATGCTAATTTGATAATCTGAAATCAGCATGGGAATGAGCGCCAAAAGTAAAAGTTTCCGAAACCGAGAATCGAACTCGGGGCTATGCCTAACCTCCCACAGAGATGAGAGGGCATCATGTTGGCCACTACACCATATCGGATGTGGACGTCTTTTGTGCAGAAAAACTCAAATAAGTATGTTAGCGGCCCCACCACCGCCCACGATGTACGCGCAAACTGCAGCTTCCCTCCGCCAGTACATGGTATTCCTGTCCTAAGATATTTGAACAATTTGGACAACAATATTTAGTAAATTTGTTCCCGTTCTCATGGAAAGGTCATGCTCGCGTGCAGGACGAAAGTTCTTCGACCAGGATGCCGGAAGAGCAAACCTAGATGATGGGCGACATTGACGACGGAGGGAGATCGATGGTTCAGCATGCTGAACCTCGTACTCTACAGTTCACGACTCCTTTGAGTGATTGGGAAGAGGAAATTTTCCCCCAGAAATTTAGCTCGGGAATGATAGATACTCAGCAAAAGAATCATGACCTCTTAGCTCATTGGAATACATGTTAGTCGAAACCGCATACTAATAACTTCGGATGACATGATGATGCTCACCCTCCGACTTCCCATCATCACGTGAAGCCGCGGTGCTTCGAATTGACTTGATTTCGTGCATCTTTTTCCCGTAAGGAAACATGGCTCTTTGATGTTCCTCGTCCCTATGCACCCTCGACGTCAAGGATGAGATGGCCGTGAGGTCGAATCGCGTGGTATGTTCAAAGCACAGCCAGCTTTCCGTGCCATCAAGGCTGGCTAACTCGATAAAGCAGCCGTATTTTCACCAAGCTAGCTAGAGATAAGTCGTGGGGCGCTGAAACGTGCGGCCTCTGCGTCCGTCGCCTGGCATCATCCAACATGAAGCTACAAAGGAGTAGAGGAAATGTTCTTATATGTAAGTAGCTGCGACATAGCCATCATACTGTTGCAGATAACTTAGAACATCTCTATTTGTGAGAGTCTGGGAGGTTCATGTGAGCCCCCGCTATGGCTCTTCCTGAACATTGTACATTACGCTATACATACGACATACCCATCTTGATCCAGTGGGTTCTTCGAACCAGTTCGAGTTCATAACGAGGTGGTCCGACCTGTACTCACCCGTGAGAATCGCCTTTGCAGTGCCAGTCACCACAGCATATTTCACATAAGTCTGGCCATGTCGGTTTCCATACACGATCCTACGTCACTCGCGACTTCCCCTCGTATTCTCTAGTGTAGTCGAGATGAATACTCATTCAGAGATGAGTGGTGAACACTGGTGGTTAGGATCTCTTGATCTGGAAGTGACAACTACATGTTTATCATCTCTTACATTTTAGAACTGGTTGGAACTAGGTTCAGAGAAATAAAAGACCATTATGCTGGTCTCTCTGCAGACCCAAAAATCTCACAGCCTGCCAAAAAGACGCTTGTAAGATGGAACAGACTGACATTGCTTAAATAGGTATGCCGGGAATGCCAATGTCTGAGAAGTACAAGGCACGGAGTAGACACATGAGTGAGACTGTACGGCGGCAAGAGGCACTCTTGGTCAAGTTTGCATAGTCGCCACAGAGTCACCTTATGAGGCAACACGAGATTTATTTCGAATATACACAAGGATCCGTGTCGACTCAAACATGGCATAGAAAAAGTCAGGCAAAGATACGAAAACCGACATATTCATCTACCAAATACCATCTCACGAAGATAAGGGCAACTAAGAGGAAACATCTTGTTGCCTACTTATCCGTCTTCAACAGAGTCACGAGCGAGCAGATGGTTAACGTATCAGGCAAGAACAACTTTACATGAAGTCCATCACTGCTTCCTGACCATGCCAGCAAAAGTGTGCGCCAAGCACTCTAAACACATCACCACACCACCAAAATTGGCTTCCCACACACACATAGTAGTAACAAAGCCTTGTCTGTCACCCACCTAGAAAGCTTGGCTCTAAAGTCCCATGCCCTTCCATGCCACCCCCTCCAAGGCCCTCTCCACTCTCAGCCGCAAGAAAATAAGAATCAACCATCTGTCTCCTGCAGCCTTCCTGCAAGAACCCCCTTTCTTCTCGTATAATTCTTCCTTGGTAGAATTGGCCCCAAATGTCTCACCTACCTGTAGGCAGATGTGAAAATCCCGTAAAACGTCTACGTCGAATGGTGAGACCAGGGATAGACAGCGGCAGATCTGCAGAGCTGCATGTCATATCCCGCAGTACATCAAGGAAAAAGAGGCTGCCCAACGACACGGCGTGTCCGAACTTCGAGTGACAAGCTATCAGCCTTACGCCCGAGAAGAACCGTGGAGGGTGCAGAGAGATAGCTCGTGTGGAGACCAGAGCAAAGAAAAGACGAACTGGGTGTGAGGCAGATGTCATCGAGCCCGCTGTCCGGGCCTGCATTACGGACGTAAATCTGACAACGTCAAATCGGGAACTCGCCGTACAACATGAGCAAAATTGCTTAAGCTGAGCATCCATTATAGCCGACTGTCCAGTTGAAGAAGAAACAAGTACGGCCCAGCCTCCCCCTGCCGAGTAACATTTCCTCAGATTCTAATTTCAACCTCCCCTTTACACGGCATCATTCGACTCTTACCTCATCTCCCATATCTTCCAGTACCATCTAGTCCATAAGACTGGTCGGGCAACCAGCCGCCAATCCATGGCAACGTACGTAGCAATCTCTTGAATGATCAGAGTGACACCTCTCCGTACGCGACGTAAGATCGCGCCGCATCGGCGGAACACACATACACGCAGACGGTCTTCTTCCCGAGATGTCGTCGTCCACGGTTCTCGACTTCTCGGAGGCCCGGGCGTCCGGGACGACACCACCGTGCACCGCGGGGGGTGGGGGGAGGAGGAAGCGGGGTGGCACCGTGCTGCTGCCTGGTGCTCGGAAGGCGACTCTACACGGAGAAGAAGACCGAATCGGATCTTGAGCGCCGGGGCGATGGGAACGACCAATTTTCCAGTTTTTCCAGCCTTCCAAAGCTTAAGCTCATTCCCATACTACCTGACTTGAGCCCCCCCTGGTTTGATCGTGTATCTTGATTTCGTGATCCTGATGTTCATCTGAGGTGGTATCTTCTCGTACCATCTTCAGGGTGCCTGGAAACGTCTCCATCACTGGGAAGTTGTCGCTAAACCAGAACGCATAATACGGATGTTGGGTGGAGACAAGAATTGAGACTACTAGAATATAATGCGACTCTCTGTAGGTATATCAGATTAGCTCCGTGGAGAGATTCCTCAAACCCCGACTACGCCACTTGGATGGATAGGAAATTATAACGCCCCTCTTCTTCTTGTATAGCTTCGTGAACAAGAATGCTGAACTGCTGTATTGCGTCTACGCGACTGGTAACATGCAAATCCAGGCAACACTTCCCCGTAGCTTCGATGTTACAGCACTAAGATCAGAACGACGCTCGCGAGTGTGACGTGGGGGGTTGGAAGCGGTGGGATGCCAATTGCTACCATGTCCATTCTGCCTGTGCAGCAAAGCTGTCTCTAGCCTCCTCTCCTCTCCTCCTCTCCAAGCTCGTATCTCCAGTATGACTCTCTCTTCCTCTCTGATCTCCAAACCAAGGTGGTAACACTCATCCCTCTCTCTCGATGGAATGAGATCGGAAGGGGTGGGCAGGGTAGCTTTCTTGCACTTTACCACAATAAACATCTGAATGGTCCCATCCCATTAAATCTCGGCAGTTGAGGGCCTTGGCAGGGCCAAAGAAAAACAAAAGTATATCGGAAACATGGGAAGAACGTGGCTAAACGGATCCCTGATCATCTCCCGGAAAAAAAAGTTGCGCAGTACGGCATGCCATCATTCATGTCATTGTGCCTGTTTGTTTTTGCAATCCATTGGGCGGGTTGGTTAGTCGTGCGTTCGCGGCTGAAAGGCGGTTTGTTTTTCTTATTCTTGTCTCGTTTCTTTTTCTATCCCGTCCTTCCATCTCCATGTGCCCCCCTTCCTCCGCGGGCCGTTGTACACGGGCACAGCCGAGCTATGCTTATGCTAGGTCAAGGGGTTGGGCTCTATTATGTTTTGGCAGCTGGTAGCGCTCAATCTTGATATCGTGTTTCGTATTGAGATGTTGGGCTTGAGAAGGGGGAAAGGGTCCTCTTGATCCCCCCCCCCCCCTTTGAACCGAAAGGAAATTGGAGGATGTCAAATTATTACGTTGTTCGAAATATCAGCCGGCAACGCACACAGTGTTGACAAAGTTGGGAAGACGAGATTGTGATAATCTGGATGCGAAAGTAAGACAGATTAGATGTGTAAATCTGTTGTTATGCCGCCAAATGGTCTTGGAAGTCTTCTAGCGCGCTTTCTGGTGTTTCGAGGCCTCTGCTTCCGGCACGAGTTAATCATCCCAAGGCCCTCCGGTGATATGTAGCGCCGGCTTCAACGTCAGCTCCAAGCACCCCCTGGGCCGGGGAGAATAAGACTCGTTACCGGGTGATGGCTTTTGGGTCTAGGGGAGTGCCATTTCGCCGCGCGTGTTTCAAGATAGCGACCCTAAGCTCGTGGCTGCGATTCCCTCCGCGCCTCGTGTGATGACTGACGGAGTCAACGCACCGAGGCAGGCAGGCAGGGCAGAGTTGCAGCACTTCTGATAGACGCAGCCCCGTACTTCTTTGGGACACTCAGTCTAAGCTGTGCCGTGAGCCGCGGTAGACTCACACTTTGGAAAAGGTTTTGAAACCAAACGATCTTGTAGCCTCCGCTAGCTGAACGATGGGCATTGAACTGGGCTGGGAGGCCGTCCCAGACTTTCGTCTCCTAATGCCTCCAGACCCCCACCCTCGTGAACTTCACCGTAGACACGTCACACTGCTGTGCATATGGATCATAAGGACGGCGACCATGTCGGCTTGTCCATAGAGTTTGTCAGTTTCCCGAACATCTGTTTCCCGAGGCCCAGTGTGATTGGGTTGACCGTCTCCTGCCGACGTCTGGCAATGGAGATATATTTGGATCACGACAAGTGAATGCCGAGGACACACGAAAGGGCGGGGAGTCGTCCGATTGGATGGCTTCAATTCCCACGTCGTGTTTGCTTTCTATCCGGGCGTGGGGGACAGACAGCGGGAATCGAGGCGTCTCGTTGCTTCCATCCATACAGTGTGACGGCATAGACAAAGCTGTAGACAGCCTATTCTTTGTGTCATTTGGGAATTTAGGAGGTAACTGTTCTTTATTTAGCCTCACCGAATTAAAGACACGGCGAGAATAAGACAATTGGTGACAAGACCTGATTTTGGAAATTGTAGTTCTCAAGTTCTTCGATAATATGTTGGCTTCAGAGGTGGAGCGTCTCGAGACGTCGTTCCGTTCAAGTAGAATGACAGCGGTAGAAAACTGGTAAATAATGAAATTGTTAGCCAAGAATTCAATTTCGTGAGTTCTGGCTGTATCAACTCGACTTGAACCTCCTCCGGCTTATGGTCGTTGAATGCTCAAACACTGACCTGGACATGAGTGCTTCAGCCCTTGGAGTGACAGCGAGCCCATCCTCAATTGTGACGAAGGCCGAGGGAAAAGCAACTTGACACAGGGGACGTGAAAAAAGCAATCAGTTTGTCGGCCGGATGCTGGCCTGATTCGGCCCTGATCATTGGTCCTCTCAAATGTTGACCGTTGGCTAGAACGGCCAACTCGAAGACCAGGCTTAGAGGACGTCCCACTAGAGAAGCAGATCGCAAGAACGGAGTCTTCATACTCTTGCCTACCGGAACGGCAAAGACTGCCGAAGACGGGATTGCAAAGACCGAATGAGCCCCGGATAAAAGCTGGGCCAATGCATGTTGAACGGGGCCGTGCTGCCGCAGCCGGGAACTAACATGGTGCGGCATCAGGCTCGATACTTTGTTTCGGAAAGCAAGAAGCGCGAGAATCTCATGCGAGCGAGCCTCTTGCGGAGTCCGCCCCGGAAGACTGGATCTGGCACGAGGCTGGTGAGACAGCGGCTCGGCAGAGAGACGGGTTGAGACATGAATGCTTGCATTGTGTATGCTACTCTATGTCCGTAGCAGGTAGGTCGTTCCATGTACGTACGGCCGAAACCGAAGTTTGTGCTACAAACAGTCTTCGAAGCCGTCATGGAAATAAGATGAATGAACTCTTCTTACTTGCACAGGCTGTCAACCGCGTATATTGGGCGGTCAAACGCAGTCACAGTCACAATAGCTTAATGACGTCGAAGCAACTGGTCCGGGCGTCTCGTCTCGTGATGTCGATGTGCTGCGGAAGCTATTTGGCGAGCACCAAGGCCGACCCCGTTTGCAGGGCGGGCCGCGGTCGCCAGGTCGCGAGAATGGGCCGGATGAGCATATGCAACTGTTGCAAGGGAGAGCAAGCATGATGAAAGTTTTTTCCCTTTCCTTTCGTGTCCCCTCTGTCCCGATTCTCTTTACTGAATCAATAGAAATCCGACAACCAACCACCACCGAGAGAGGTTCGGGGGTGGCTCGGGCAAGGTGAAAACGGCGGTTTGGAGAAGAGATGGAGGGGTCGAAAGGCCGAGCGGTGGTTGGAGAATGTGGGCGTTAGTCCTTGGTGGGTACCGCCTGGATACCTCCGATTGGGCGAAGCGGCCGGCGCCGAGTGGGGTGTCGTTCCGGTACTGCCTTAGCGGCTCCCAATCGTCATCCCATGTCTGGATTCTTCTGTACCTAGGTGATGCCTCAGGCACAAGGAGATCGAGAGTCTGCACTCTGCAGAGAGTGGCAGACAAGCGCAAGGCACGAACTGTGTAAACGTGGACCTCCCGACCCCAGCCGTTCTGGCAGGCATCACGGCATCTACAGGTTCGGTCAGCACCTTGCTGGGCGAGGGATCCGACTTGGTGATGAGAGTGAGAGCGGGCGGTTGGTCTGTGAGGTGCATGCATTACTAGTGTCCATTGTGGGCATCGGTGGGCAACTTTTTGGGAGCCACATCTGAATTGCCCAGTAGAAATCGGGTCAAGGGCCAGGTTTTCAGCAGTGGCATGAGCGGTGCGAGTCTGCTGCTGCGAGCGAATGGTCAGCATCGTCAGGCAGAGGTACGGATAGAGGTGGCAGGACTGGTCGCGGGCACGGTTTTCCTTCTCTCTTCTCCGGCACGTGCATGAACGGAAGCACACTTGTACGTCTCCAATATGTCGTCTGCACTGCGGAAGTTCGTACGCCGCCGGCTTCGGTTGCCTCAGATGCTTTTGACTCAGATACATCTTGCGGTGACTGAGACTTCGCTGTTGATGATGCTTGATAACGCGACGTCTAAGATACCGTCGGCATGAACTACTAAACCTAGGTCGATAGCTTGGCGGCCAACGAGCTGACGGGACCAGGCACATAAGCTGGGGTAGCTACCCTAAGTATCGGTAGAGAACTAGGGTTAGTAGTTTAGATCACATCATCAGGCAATTCATGAAGCGATTTGTGGTGAAGAGATGGTGCTTTGGAGGGACCAGACTGGCCTGGATCTCGGTCTAGGAAAGGGTTGATCTCTTGACTCTTCCAATCGTTGTCAATGGCATGTTTGCCCTGTTATCCTAATTCGAGGTCCAGCTCCGTGTCCAGGCCCGGGACAGCTCTAGTTCCCTCGTTGTCTACTGACCACTAGTCGATTGACCTTGACTAGGGCGGGTCGCAGACAGATACCAGACCGGGGCAAGCAAGCTATGGTCCAGACGGTTAAGCTTGAGCTGGATTTTTGCGATAGTGTGCGCTCGTAGCTGCAGCTGCCAGGTATGTCTGGCTGTCCGCAAATACTAGGCAGGCACGACGATTATTGCTCAACTTCCCAGTTAGTGGTCGCATGGACTCTACCGGGGAGTGAAGCCGCTCGGCGAAGGCAACGAGAAGGTAAACGCCTGGATGACCTAGTATACCACTTGGGTCGCGAAATAAAAGCATCATGCTCAGTGTCCAGCTTGTACGGTGTACCGAATGAAATGCGAGAGGGCAAGAACCCCCCCCCCCCCTTGGCGAACATGTATCGGAAGAAATGGAAGAGACGCAGATGCAGATGCAAAGTCTGCCCTTGGAAAGCTGACCAAAATTGGACCAGGTATATTCGTATCGGTGTCGACCGTTCGGACGGGATAGCCTCCGCCACGACGGTGTACCCACCTCATTCGCGAGGAAAAGAACGAACGGTGGCATATGTCTGCCTCGGTCAACTGGGGTGAGACCAACTTTGTTTCTATGTGCCACAATAATTCCGTGTTGACTTTCGAAGATAGCGCTGGATAAGATAGAACAAGACGAGTAAACTCAGGGCGAAGGACAAACAACTGTGGATATGTCACAGTTTCCGTTAGTAAAGAAGTGGTGAACGATCATCGAAGATACCTACGGCACTTAAAAAACTAGAGAAAAAAGCTGCTCTCTGGCGTGTCTGGCCCGCGAGTGTAGCATGTGTGGGTGGGCGGGACTGAGCGGGAAGATGGGCTGCTGCGTCAGCGCGGGATGTCAATTGGACCCAATGGAAGACCAGCCGGTTCGTTCTTGAGGACAGCCGCGCTAATGTTGGAAGGAGGAAACATGCAGCTCGCAACCCGCAGCTGCAATCGGAGCCCAAGCCGGCGTGGTGTCGTTGTAGTCCTGACCAGGCAAACGTCACCTTGCACAGCGCAGGGAACCCCGTGGGCCGTACCCCTAGCTTGACTCTCGAGAGCTTCTCTCCATTGACATGGTATCCGTAAGGTAAGTTAGGTAGGAATCTGACCGCGGCGAATGGAGGGTAGGGCGGCAGTGGGCGGTTGGCTGTTGGCATGAGTCCCTGTATCCGCCGAGTCCTCGTCCTCGTCCTCGTCCTTGTCCCCGTCATCCCTCGTCCACAACATACGGGTGCGAAAAGGGTAAATGCACCCATCCGCTGCTGAGCCTCGCCGTATTCTGTGTCGCGGGGTTTGCTCGCCCAGGGCCGGCGCGGCTGGGGCTCCATCTCCATAGCCGTCTGTGTTCCATAACAACGTCCAGATTGAAGGCGGGCTCGCAGCCTCGCTCTTGATTCAAGAACCTAGTGGTAGGTAGGATCTGCGTACATGGAGCGTCGGCAGCTTGGAGACGCTTGTTGTGGCTGGAGCAGATGCTTGGTAATTACCTAGTACCTTGCCTCATGGAATTGTTTCTGCTCCAGCGTCATCGGGTACATCAGCCACATGGCTTGTCGGCGGCCGTCCGGTTGATGGTTTGTGGTTTGTGGTTTGCGATTTGCCGTCATGGTTTCAAGCTGGCCAAAAATTCAACGCATACGTCTTGTTATCAATCTGTGACGTGATGTCGGGTACTGTGTACCTTCTTGTTGGGGTGAAGTGCGTGCTTGGAGCAACTTGCCAGAAACGGTGTGCGTGATACAAAACCGCAGGAACGATAGGTCAGGTAAAGTAGGTACCTTCCGTGCTTCCTCGTCCGTAGCTTCTGAACAGTGGAATGCTGGTTCCTTCCATTTTTCATGATTAAGGTTGGGGTACGGAGGAGGCATACCAGATACCTGTACGGAGTACGTACTCAATACTGGGGGCTGCCATTGCAGCCTGTCTGCATTTCGCCTGCATCCTGAGGTGTTATTCACAAGCAACCTGTTCCTTCTTTCCAAATGGGATGCAACCAGGAACTACTCGCTACCTGCTGCGATTGAACTCGGCGAATCAGAAAATTTGTCCATCAGGAAGGGGGAGGGGGGTAGGTGGAAAAAGGAAGGCACCACATCACCAGACACATACTGGGTAGGTAAAGCAACTGACAATTGCATTGATATCCATCTCTGGCATCATGATCAGAGAATCACGAGAAGAAGAAAGGCATGCTGCATTCACACAGCCAGTAGAGTTGCCCAAACAATGCCTGATGAATCTATCTCGCTTCACCCTCCCAGGTAATTGTTGTGGTTGTTGTTATTGTTGTTATTTTGAACGAGGCAGTTGCAACTTGCTGGCTGGCTACCCAAGTTACCTTTGTTTGTTATATCAGGTGCGGATACGTCGCCGCATTCCATCCATCGCTTTCGTGCGCGCGCTTTTTTTCTTGTCCCCCGCTGCATACCTATCCGTTCAAATCGTTTCTGACATTCGTACCTACCTTACCTCACCTTACTCACCTTCTCACCTCAAATCCTATTTGTATGTGGTTCCTTCAAACGACATCCCAAACCGGCCAAGGCTGTACATTGCCCACTGTTCCGCCGCCGCTCCTCGGGTTAAGAATTGAAATCTTTTTGCCCGCTGATTCATTCCTTTTCCCCCTCACCACGTCTTTAGACAGAAACACTAACGGTATGTTTACGCATCCATCTCACCTTTGCAATCCCTCCACATCACCCTCGTGTGCTGGACCGAGCGCATAGTAGACAGCGTCTTGCTGGTCTTCCGTCGCCGGCTTCATCCTTGATCATTGCCCCTCCTACCCCGTTGATTGCCCTGCTGCCTCGCCTTCCCCCCTCCAGTCGTCCATACAGCTCAATCCACTTTCGTCAGCGCCTTCTCCTCAATCGGCCCAGCCTATCCCTTCGCCAATCTGTGGTTACTGGTCATTACTGCGTACACTAATTGTGTACGGAGTACAGAGTCCCGTGTGGTCTATCCATATCCTATCGTCGGATACTGGAATTTCCTTACTGGAAGTCGAGGCATCATTGGAACAGGGAAAAGGGGCGAGAGAAAGGCATCTTCATATCTCAATACTGGGATAGCTCGTGATACTGACTTGGAGCTAACTAGGAGGTTTGTCCAGTCGCTGTCATTTGATTCGCTTGAATAAGCATTCTCCAACTCCGACCGACGTCTCACGACGAACCGAGCCGACCAGAGCTTGCCCTTGTCCGCATCTCGGAGAGACGACAACGCTACCGGCATACCGTGACAATCGCCAATCCATCATCCACGCCATATCCCGATCCTCGTCTTGCGCATTGCGGATTGCGGCTTGCCTCAATATCCCCATATCCTTACCTGGGCCTACCTTACCACGCGCAAGGAACCAACCGCGACTAAACGATTCATCGAGGTCGAACCACTACTGCGTACGCTACGGTATTGCGATAGCGTACGAATACACTACTGCGTGGTCTATCAACCTCGCACCACACACCAACAAAGGTACGTTCTCCGAAACGCCAGCACCAATAATCCAGGTACCCTGCCCTGTCCTGCCTTGCCTTGCCTTACCTCACCTCACCTTACTGCATGCGTACGCTACCTAGGTACGCTCCCTCGAGAGTACGTACCGTATCGCACCGCATAGCACCGCAACCCTCGCCTGCTTCTGTCTGCTGCTTTGCGCCGCTGGTGCTGTTGCCGCTGCCGCTGCCGCCGTCGACGCTGTTACCAACAAACCCCAACCAGCCGGTGGAATTGGAACTGCTTGCTGTGGCTTGCTCGCTCGCTCGTCTCCAACCCGTCCCTACACCCCTGTCCCCTTGTCGACCCCCTCCCACTCCCACTCCCACTCTCGCTGCCACTCAGTCCCCTTCCCCGTCCCATCCCGGCCAACCCAAGTTACGGCGGATACAGAGCTGGGTGGCTCGGGTTGGCGCGTGGAGGTAACGAGGGTTGACAGCCTCTCAGGAGAAGGGCGGGCTAGCCAACAGTCGGCTGTGCGCCTCCGCTCCGCTTCGCCTTTATCCCGGTATCATCCTTCTCCCTAACCCAAGCATCTAACACAAGCCCAGGTCCCAAGCTAGACCCGCCAGTCCAGTCAGTGTCTGTCATTTCTCCACACCTTTTGCCCATCCAAGAAGACGAAGAAGACGACAAGACGAGACGAGACGAGACGAAGGAAAGAAAGAGAAAAGCAAGCCAAACAAGCCCGAGGGTCAGACAGGAGGTCATACGGCCTGTGTGCGCGCAATCGTCCTGTACTCGTACATACACATACCTAAGCTGCCCGCACCGATTCGCATCCGCAACGCGCGACCGTGTGCCAACCTGTCAGTTGCCAGTTGCCGGCTCAGCCCAGCCTACCTTAGCCCCGGCCAAGCCAAGGCAGAGAGACAGACGAAGAGAAGAGGGTGAGCGAGAGAAAGAGAGAGAAAAAGAGAGCAGGGACAGACGGCACCCACCGCGAGCGACCCCTCCCCAGTCACAGTGCTGCGTTGGTGCTTGTTGCTGCCGCCGCTACTGATACTACCGCTGTCGCTGCTGCTACGTATTAACTGGCTTGTCGGGTCCAGTCCGGTCGATCCAATCCACCAGTCTGCTGAGGAGAGAGTCCACTGTCCACGTCCAGGGCTCGGGCTCCAAAATCCAACAAGATTTGGGCTCCTACCTTGCTCCCCAACTTCCTGCGGCCACCACCAGTCCACCACAACCACCACCTTTCGGCCTCCACTAACCTACCACTTGCTGCCACCAACCTTGCCTACCTTACCTATCCGTACTTACCTACCTGTCTTACCCTTTTTTTTTTTCTCACCTTGCCTATTCTATCATCGATTCTCGACTGGCGTTCGTCGTCTTTTCCTCCACCACCACCACCTTCACAATCACCGACGAACCACCACCACCACCACCACCACCACCCACCTCGCGTTCCGCCCCCGCGAATCGCCCCTCTATCTCTGCTTCGCTTTGACTTTCGCTACTCATCATCAATCGAGCGGCTTTATTCCAACGACAAAGAGTCGACTTCTTTCCATCGTTCTTCGCCTCAGATAGCTGCCCATCATGGCAGGAAAAATGGTGCTGTACAAGTTGGTGGTCCTGGGCGACGGCGGCGTGGGGAAGACCGCTTTGACAATCCAGCTCTGCCTGCAACACTTCGTGGAAACAGTAAGTCGCCATTTCTGTTCGTTTTGCTTCGCATCACATCGTCACTTTCTTTTCTTCGGTCGGTCGTCGACTCTCTCTTGACCCCTTCCCCCAAATCCATCCTTTCCCCGCTGCTATCGCCCCCAAGAGCCGCCCGCTGACCGTGCTTTTCTACCGAAAACAGTACGACCCCACGATCGAAGATTCGTACCGCAAGCAAGTTGTCATTGATGGGCAAGCATGCATGTTGGAAGTTCTCGATACTGCCGGCCAAGAAGAGTACACAGCCCTTCGAGATCAATGGATCCGAGATGGAGAAGGATTCGTTCTCGTCTATAGCATCTCATCACGATCTTCGTTTTCACGGATCAAGCGGTTTCATCATCAGATCCAGCGAGTCAAGGAGTCATGTGCGTCCTCACCGTCATACCCGGGCTCGCCAATCTCTGCAGCCAGCCCACAAGCGCCTGTGCCAATCATGCTGGTCGGCAATAAGAGCGACAGAGTCACCGAGAGAGAAGTTTCGACACAAGAAGGACATGCCCTGGCCCGCGAGCTGGGCTGCGAATTCGTCGAGGCCTCGGCCAAGAACTGCATAAACGTCGAGAAGGCCTTCTATGACGTTGTCAGAATATTGAGGAGGCAGCGACAGGCCGCCTCGAGGCCGCAGCCCGGCGGACGAAGCAGCACTCGGCCTATCAATGGCGATGCCGGAGCGAGATACGACGACAAGGAGGGTGGCGACCGCTATCGTCGCAAAGTGGGCAGAAGGGAAGGGAAGAGTAAATGTGTCGTCTTGTGAGCTCGTCCGCAACCTCGACTTTTTATTCCCCCCCCTTTTTATCGACGGACTTGTTCGGATCCACGGCAACACCCCCGATCCATTCGATTCGCAAATCCGACGGGCCCACTGCCGCGAGGCAAAAGCATTTTCCACGTCACGACTTGATGATTGCCAGCATTAGAGAAGCGCTGGCAAAGGCTTTCACAGCCACGACTATTGGACGTACGAGATCTCGAGTTCTGCTTTGAAGACGATTCGGACATTTTCCCCCATGTCACGGATGAACAACCAGCTCCTCGTTGGGCGAACGGCGCACGAAAAGAGAGAGGCATATCCTGGGGCGTAGGTTTCTTGAGATTCAATCAAACCTTTGGGCAGACTGGGAGTTCATAATTTTTTTGTTCTTTCCAAACAACACATGAGGGCAAGCTGGCGGTGTTATAGGAGTCTTTCTTACAGACCTTTTTTTTGACGTCTAGTCGGTCGCAAAAGAAAATGATGCCATGTATCTGCACACTTCCACTCCCGGATTGTTCATATGTTTATGGTTTGGATTCCTCACATGGACCATTCATATCCGCGCACGCGAGCTGAGAAGGAGGTCTGCTTGGAGAAGGAGAGGCTGAAGGGCTGTGGCAGATGGGAGGAAGCTCTAATCTGTGTATACCGATACAACACTTGTTTTCCTAGCTGCAGCACGTGGCTGGAAGTAGTCACTTTGGGGAGATAGCCACAAGAAGGTATCAACTCTCTGTCGGACGTAGATAGACATCCGGGATAGGCCTACTTGTTCCTCACTAAATCTACATCATCCGCTCATCCATCCTTGATTTTCCGATCATCTTCCGCCCGATGCTTGATTTGCCGTGACGGCGCGCCTTACCGGGAAACTTTACCACAAATGGGCGTTGCCATTGACGAAAGAGGGTTGCTTGATGGGAGCGAAAATCATGTATGTATCGGGAAAAGCTAGCGTTGTATCTCGGAAACTATGTTGCTTTTCCCCCCCTTCCTTCCTGGACAGGTCTTTGGGGGGAGAGGAAGTTGGAGAGAGTGTCTTGGAGGGGGAGCGGAGGATTCATGAAGAGCAATGGTAGTGTACACACAGTAAGGCAAGGGAGAGAGGAGAGGAGGACCGCTCTGGGCGCAAGACGTGCGCGCGTCTCGCCTTCTCTGCCCGCCGTACCCCGCGATTTCCGCTCCCTCGGGACTTTATTCTTGGATGACGGATGGGAGGGGAAGGGGGGAGGGGGGTGTGAGTTGTAGGAAAGTCGGACTTTTTTTTTGGCAACGGTTTTTTGTTTTGCACCTTCAAGGGCAGGCAAGGTAAAGGTCACTCACTCGCTGTAAGGGAGGGGTGGCGAAGAAGCCAAGAAGGATAGGAGAGGGTATCAGGGCATGTACGGCAGCACGTCCCGGCAATGAGGAAGGGTGGATGGTTAAGTGAAGCATAAGACTGTAGATGCGGAGGAGACGGGGAAAGCTAATGAGAGAGAGACGGGGTTTTGGGAGATGGAAATGCCGCCTTCTTTTTTTTCATTAAGGGACGGGCGTGACGGGGCCGTATATGTTCCCGCATTCTCTCTAGACTATTGAGATTGGTGGTTTAAGAAACACTTACCGTTTGCGAAAGCCGGGTTCTCGGAGTTTGAGTGGGCAGAGAGGGGAGACGCCCGAATAGAGATATTACCTTGTCAAAGGGAAGCTTTGTATATGTGTGTTGTGGATTTACGTTGAGGTGTTTGGACGGCTTGGCGGTCTTTAGCTCCTCTCCGGGGTTTGTAAGGTATCCAAAGTTTGCTTGCCCTTTTACCACTGTCTGATACCTAGCTAGCTTCTTTGAATCCTCTTGCAGTGAGTATGGTAAAGAGGGGGGAGAGGGGAGGGTGGTGCCTTTCTCCGGCATGGACGGGCGACGGAAAGGGGAGGAAGGGTTCAGGGTTTGGGGAAGGATACGTGAGGAAGGGGGGGAACAAAGGTTGCTATTCGTACCTTAATGGTATATGTTGGGATGGGGGAGCAGGGTAAGCGAGAGGGGATTCTGGGATCGGGGGGTTCTAGACCGATCCACGTTGAAATGCTTCGGTCTATTAGATTCTATCTCGCGGTTATCCATATTGACAGGCTTGTTCTGTGCTCTGTACTGCTTTTTCTCTGCTCTTTCTCAGCTAAGTTTGGAGACCGATAATCAATCGAGAGGCGTAAAGAAGTGTAGCCGGAAGAAGGAAAGAGGTGACGAAGACTGATCCAAAGCTCCGGTTCGATTGACATTTAGCTAATCATCGGGGGGAACGTTTCGTTTCTTTGCTTTTCCGCGATGGGATTCATAAGCAAACAAGAGCAGGATTCAGATACGAAAGAAGAAAAGGCTCGTGGGATGTAGTAGCTTCGGACTTTGGGCCGTCTCCGCGCAATGGAGGCATCGAAACAGGAGAAAAGCCGCACTCGAGCTAGCCTTTATGTTTCTTTTGTTGGGCGATGATAAAGGCATTGTTCAATGCGCCCCGTTCAAGGTGGGCTTTTATCTCCCCGGATGTTCTTGTTTCGGAGACGGGGAGAAGGAGGATATAATAGATACCTGCCAGGTACGGGCACATGCTTTTTTCTACTCTTCCCTTATGTGTTTCCAGTGGCGTTTAATAGCACGTTTATCTTTTTACTAGCTTGAACGACCGAACGGTTCATGTGAAGTGGGTGGGTGAAGAGATGTTCTCTGGAGGCAAAGTTCAGTCTGGATGTCTGTCGCGGGGAGAGAGGTCCAAGGCGAAGTTGTTCAATTCATGTGGGGTATGGTGTATGCGCACCCATTGCATCTCTCAACACACACCATACACATACACAGAGAGAGACTGACGGAACGGACGGACTGTCTCTTCTTTTTTCTTTAGTCAATAGTGGCGCGCGCCGTAGGCTTGGCTTGTCTGTCAGACTACGTGCCGGGGAAGGGGTCCAGGTGCGGGAGGCTAAGGTAGTGTGAGTGAGGGAGTGAGTGAACCCGTGTGTGTGGTGGATGTCTCTCTCTTTGGGAAACTAGCGACGAACGATGGGTTGGCGCTTTTGCGGATGGGGTCCGTGGGAAAGGGTACTGTTTAGTATATGGTGAACGGTATACGGTAGAGCTCTTTTGCTCCCTCATTCTTCTTCGTTCTTGATGAGTGGAATGGGCGGATCGATGAGTATTCCTTCCCGAGTCCTGCTCAGTAAGGCGTGGTTTATGCGTTCTCCTTTTTTGCGGTTCCCTGCGGTTTGGATTCCCGGGGTTCGTTCGTGCGACTGTGTGAGTGGAGAGGGAAAAGTTGGGAACCAACGGCAAGCGCCTTGGCCCGATTAGCAAAGCCAGCCATGGATGGATGGGGGGGAAGTTGGAGAATCGATGCTATCCGGGGTCGGAAAAAGGCAAGAAATTCCAATGTAGCGTGGTTGGAGTTCCGTGGTGGGTTGGAGAGCAATGGTCCGCCGCCCGTTTGAGACTCGGGCGAAGCTGCGAGAGCCGAGGCGTGCTTGGTAGGTTTGAACTACACAATACATCTTACCATCGAACGTGTGTGATGAGACCATAGCGGGTGAGTTTTGTGAGGGTGTAGACTAGGCTTCTGGTGATGAGCGGGTCTATCCGCCGAGCTTCTTTCTTTGTCGTTTGGTAGTTTCGAAACCATGGTTTGACGATTCTGTGGACGGGAGTCAAAATCACAACCCTGTGAGGCTGGATGGATGTCTGGGGTGATGGGTGTTGAGGGCATTAGGCTTGGCTTTCTCCTCTTCTTTCTCTGACCTACCCGTGGGTGAGTTCGGGAGAAGTAGAGTGTACTGACGTAAGGATGAGGGTGGTGATGAACACTGCATGTAAGGGCTACCTTAGTCTACGTGATTTCCCTCGCCTCGAGCACACTACCTAAACTACGTTTGATGGCATGGGGGAGGGGCGTTTGCGAGCGGGAACGGTGTTTGTTCGATAAGCAACTCTGGGCGCGAAGTCTATTGCGAGATGGGATGATCATCTTTGCCCTACGCGCTGTTCCAGTGACCAGTGTTTATATGTGTGTGATCCTGCTAGCCAGCATAAGATTTGCGCGGTGGTGTTTTTTTACCTTTCGACGATGCGGCTTTCTTTCCCCGGTCTGATGTCATCGTCCAGGGCATCGAGTTCTGATGACAACCCACGTTCCTAATGGAGGCACTTGAGAGGTCTATACAATCCTTCTCTCCATGTTAATGAAGGGCGCCTTGAAGTATCCGGCTCTGGCAGGGTTGTAATGTTTCTACATGCGACATATGATATGATGCCAAGTTGCGTGATGCTCGGTATTGATTCGGGCTATATGAAGTAACTTCACAATAACTCAGGTCCCAATTTGCTATTCCAGTCTGTTTCTTACTGGTGCGCCGATCTTCACTCAGACAAGCGGGGCAAAAGACTTAGCCAAAGACAGAGGCTCTGTGCGCGTTCTCTTGAGGAGCGAGCAGCCTCGGGTATTCTTCTATGCATGGTCCACGGCATTTGCTCGTGTCTTTTGAAGCCTCGGGTTGGAGCAAAAGAGCCAGTAAGCTGGATCTCTCTCTCATGTCGTTCATTCTTTCGCTCCACAATCACATTCCCAAGGGAGAGGGGGGGGTGTTTCTTCAACAACTAACGGATTCTTGCAGCGCATTGCATGCCACTGCAACCCTCCCCTCGTCCATATCGCAACCTCTTTTGCTTTCCCTGCGCAATGGCCAACACACCTGTTCTGCTTTCTCTCACGCGCTAGAGGGCCTTCTCAAACTGTTACTGCAATACGTTCGTGCTACCTTACTTACTCATAGCGATGGTCCAAAAGAGGGATTCCTTCTTCCCAGTTTTGCTGCATGCAGGAAACAAGACGGACCGCCAGCTCCAAAACCCCTCATCGAACACGGACCTCTCTACGGACCTTTCGCCTTTCCTTCGCATTCTCTCACACGCAGAGACACGTTTCTCTCAAGTCTCTCTATTCGTTTTGTATAAGCTAAGGTACGTAAAGGGCCCAAAGAGAAAGAGGGGGAAAGGGCACATCATTGATCCATGGGTAAACTTCCCCTCAAGGGTCTTTCCCCCCTCTTCCCTCTTATGCCGGCACTGCTCAGGCAGGAGGAGGGGCATCTCGGTGCTCCATGCAAAAGAGGGCATTTACTGGAGATGGTTTTGGCAAGAGGGAAAAAAAAGGAGCCCCCCCTCTCAAGTTACGGCGAGCGGAGCTCCAACATGACATGTCTTTTTGGGACGGGCGCACGTACGAATACAGCGAAAAAAACCACAAAACACGACTCAAGGACCCTGCTGGAAGTCAAGGTGGCCAGTTTGGATACTAGTTTCCACCGACACATACTCTTTCTCTCTACGTATGCATACCGAGGAAGTGGTTGGCATTCTTTTTGACAGGGCACAGTCTTGAACAGCCGCGGACACACATGTTCGCCTACGAGGAAGGGAAAAAAGTGACCGACCTGGTCGTTTTCCGTAATAGAGGAGCATTGAGGAACGGAGAGACACCGAGGTATTGGAGGACCAGACGTCAAGAGAGTCCGAGCCCCACGGAAAACGGGAGCTGGACCCGGCATCCAGTCCGTGCACCCGGAGGAGGGGCCGGGTACCATTCTGACAGTTTGGGTCGTTTGCTGATCTTCCCTCTTAGCACTGGTCGGTTCGTAATGGACCGGGGGAGGGGGTTTCGAGCAGCAATGAGAAGTAGCAGGGACGGGAGAGGAGGAGAGGAGAGGGAGAGAGAGCGACGGAAAGGAAGATGCATGTCGTTGACTGCTGTTTTCATCCAACGGCGGCTTTGTCCGTTTCCCTTCTCTTCTTTCTTTCTTTCTTTCTTCCTCGTCTTCTGCCGTGCCGAGGAGGGGGTGGTGCTCTGTCGGGTAAATCGAACGGGAAGGGCTTCGTGGCCGGCTACGCGATGAATCAGGATTGGGGTTGGTGACCTCGCCGCTCGGTGAGTTTCCCACCGAAGCAGAGGATTCAGGGTAATGGGGTGACTTCTCCAGGTGAGCGGTCGGTGAACAGCACTAGTGATTGGTCCCAATGCGACGACCATGCTGGACTTCTCGCCGGTTCGCTTGGACGAGAGGGCAGCCAGCCTCACCAGGGGAGGGGGGGAGGGATCAACACTTGGTCTTTGAACCAACAAAGCTGCCGTCTCGTTCTCTGCTTTCTTTTTCTCTCGCCTTGCGGAGTACTAGGCCTAGGTCCCATGTATTCCGAAGTCTGGGGCCTCTGGGCGACTGGTGTCTTGGATTTCCATTCCTTCACAGAGTATCATTGAAGACTCTATGTCACCCACCACCCCCGTCCCCTTCCCTGAGCTTTATCAGAAGCAAAGTCGGCTTCTTTTCTTCCTACAAGCCCCCTCTTGGCTGGCCGCCGGCCGCTGGTCTGATTATCTGATAGGTTTTCATTTCTCTTTTTCTTGCACTTCCGGCCCGACTCCGGGGATCAGATAATGGGGTTGGGGGAAGAGCAGGGAAGAAAGGAAGGGAAAAACACGAACCAGGCCGGGATCCTGCATTATTGGCAGAAGATCCAAGAGCCAGACGTCCGGGTTACGTTTCACCGCATTTCGCTCCGAACGCATGATCTTCGGGAGACGTCGTTTCTCATGTTTCTCGTCCCCTTCTCTGCAGGACCGCAACCTCAAAACGTTGAGAGAGACAGACTGTGTGTGTACGGAGTGCTAATATCTGTACCCACACCGAAAGGACCCTTGAAGTTTGAATTGAGTGATGGAGTGGCTACTCGATAATGGCTGGGTTCCCCGTGCGATAAGGGAAAATCTCTCTGAAAAGCTCCAGAGCTGTCAGGTATTCGGTGTACTTGACTCTGCGGATCAACAGTGAACGGCATTCGTACCCGTTCGCATACAGAGGAGGCAGATGAGTTTCTCTCCTCTGGGGGTTTGCGCTTGTTGCAAGCAGTAAAAGAGTTGCGCTCGCAATTGTCAGGCGAGAAGAACTGAAGATCGGCATCTAGACCTTTGGACCGTTGTCTATTTCCTCTTTCCCTGGTCACCCTGCGACCTACCTATCGCCCAATCTGGTCCCTGTCACTGTTCATCTTGGACCCTAGGGCCTAACGTGACTTAGTCCCAGCCGTCGGTATCGCACGCAATCTTTTGCGCTGTTTTTCTCTCTTCTTCTCAATCTTCATTGCTTTCTTCTCGCGCATATTCCTTCGCGTAAGGATGGAACGTTGTGTTTGCGTCCTCTTCCCAAACACTGAAAATGGTTGCTCTTCAAACTCCCCAATATGGCAGGTGCTTCGCAACCACTTCGTCCCAACTCCTAACAGCTCTCTCGAAGTCCCCATAGGCAGCAGCAGCAGTAACAAAACGGGGACCCTGGGAACCGCTCGTTGGTCTTGTAGGGATTCCGAGTCAGGACCCTTGCCCGCTCAATGCGGCGCGACTTTTAATTCCTCAATGGTGTGGTCCGTGTGGTGCGAACTTGCGAAGAAAGAGGGCCCGCGGAACGGGATGTGCATTCTCGCGGGCTCGTAGTTCAACCACCACCAAGTGATCGAACTCCCGGGACTTCTATCGTCTTCCCCCCGTCCGCGCGAGGGAAGGGGAGGGGGGAAGAGGGATCATGGATAGGAGCAAGGGAGGCAGGCGGCGGCCCTTGCTAATACTTGGCCCCATGCGTTCCTCTCTTACGGATCTCGGACGGTGCCTGCCAATCACCGCTCTCGGGGCTCAGCTCCGGCGGCCAGCAGTTACGCGGCTGAGCGATGGGATCAAACGGGAGGCCTGTCTGGAGGCTGGCGCGAGAGAAGGGAAATCACGAACGTACGGCTGGGAACCTGGGACGGCTTTTCCCCGGGTTCGCCAAGTTTGCGTCCCTGTGGCAGAGAAGGGGTGAACTGCTCCAAGATCTCCCTGTCCCCTGGCTCGTTGGAGTCGTTGGGTCAACTTGGCATGAACACCAAAGGTCGTCATTCATCCCCTCCCCATACTTGTTGCGCTGCTGCCACTACCGTTGCTGCAGGACTTGTCTTGCCCTTCCGGGTTCCCTTCTCCATCCCAAAGTTCCAAACATCTCTCGCTCTGTGCCCTTTTCTCCAATGGCTCCAACAGCCGAACCGGGAAACGTAACCGTCCGGCAGATATTCATCACATATCTGTTCCGGCGGGAGGGTGGAGTAAGTAGCCCAGAACAAATAATACCGACCCAGTGTCTGATGTTCTCCAAAGAACCAACGCGAGGTTGGGAATCGTCTCACAGCCCTGGGGGGAAACGGCCAATCGCTCAAGGGTCTCGGTCTGCTAGGCTGAACTCAAAGTTACGGCATAATCTTGCCTGTTTGAACTAGTTCGGGCTGTTGACGACGTCCGTGGACGATGACAAAGGTCATGTAAATCGAGGCAGGTCTGTTCGACTTGGTTTCTCTCCCTTCATCTAGATCTTTACGTATTTTATCTCCCGCGACCTGCCTCACCGAGAGGACGGTCGCACCATGGGCGATCATCCCGCGTGGGGGCAGCCGGGGTTGGAGGTTAACCGTCTCACGGGAATTTGGCTGGGTCCATGTTCGATTCGTGTGTGGTGTGGTAGGACGTAGAAGGGGAGGGTAGTGGCCTAAAGACCGTCGGACAAGCCCGCTTGGGGGTGTGGCACCTCGCCTCGAAACGGCTGGAGCGGGTGAGGCCGACGCGCGACGCGATGATGGAGGGAGCAGCGATGGCTGATATGCCCCCACGACTGAAGATAGACTTTGGAGAAGGTGAGGTAGCTGGACGAGCGTTGTACGGGGCTTACACCGGTGTTGGAAATGGGGAGATTCTGGATCTAATCTACGCCGGAACGGGGAACGTTTGCCGACGCCGTGTCGTTCGGTCAGCGGTTTTCTCCACTTCACCGCTTGAACGGCTGAGTCGTTAAAGATCAAATGAGAATTCTATAACAGTCGGTATGGACCGTCTGGACTCGGGGTCGGAAGCCGAGAGGCGGATATTGACGGCAGTCTGTTTGATCGACTACGGATCATGGCTCTCGCTATCTAGCACGATGGAAACGTTGATGCCGAGGCGTATATGTTGCCAATGAATGAGCATGAGCTCACTGGTCAGTCTCAGCACTGCGGTAAAGGAAGATCACTATAATGTTCTAATGTGATACAACCGTGATGCTTTGATCAGGCCCGCAGTATCCTCGGCCTGATGGGCTGAGGATGTTTTGGCGCCAGGAGCTTCGGTCCGCTTCGTTCCGGGGCATAAGCTTTGCTGACTCTTTGGGAATCACGCTTCTCCCATCACTCTGTTATGATCGTAGTGTGTAGGTTCATGAGAAATTTGGCGCATTGTCAGGCACTTCAGGGGTTAGATGAAGGGATGAAGTTAGGCGACTGGGAGATATGAGCCTATGACTTGTCGAGCCTTCTGAACTGTATGTAGAACACAAAAACGCTGCCTCGGGGGCTTCATCACTCTGATTAGACTTTGCGATTCGACTGTTCCTTAGTTCGGCTTCATAAAGACGATGTTCTTTTTGGCGACTTTGTCATGGCTGATGAGGGCTTTGTAATTCCATTCATGGTTTCAGACTAGTACAACGTCGACGCATATTCTGTTGCGTACCACGTCCGGTAGCTTCGAATCGAGCTTCTCTCTTCTCGAGTGAATGGTCGGTACTTGAGCTGGCTTGGGACTTCGGTCAATGACCACTACGATGGCTTGACAGAGAAGGAAATGAATCAGTCCAATCCGACCTTTTGAGAGACCAGGCTCTAGATAGTTGCTTTAATTCGGCTTGATGTACTTTGAGCTATCTTGGTATTGGAAAGAGCTGCTTCTTTACGTAAGCGTTCATGGATTAAGATGTGCTTGGGTGAAGAAGTGCTCTGTATGCTTTGGTTAGGTCAGTATAGTCCGCGTTCGCTCGTGAGAGCTTAGTCTATCGTCAGTTATGAATTCTTGATACTAGCTAGTAAATGTCAGCACGCGGTAATTTGAAGAACTCTAGCAATGTTTAGAACAGAATTATAGCCTAGTATAAAGAAAGAGTTATCAGTATCACTAACTAAACTTGAGGTGAAAATGAGCTACTTGTTGATAGGATGACAGTCACGAGATCACTACTTGCGGTGTAAAAGGAAGATGAGATCTAGTGTGCCGTCGTCGCCTTTAACAGTACTTTGTCGTTGGAGATAGAGGAAGATGGTAGGAACCATGCTTGGGAGGTATTGGGGCTACATTCCGGCTTCCATTCTTGTAACTGAACATACCATATGGGGTCCTGCAGCTCACTATAAGAATTGCTAGATTTTTAGATCGAAGAAAGAAGCAACGGTTCTGAATATGTGAGGTGAGCTTCTACTTACTATGTCCAAGCAGTGCATTCTTATCCACACCCTCTACATCTTGAGCTGTGGCGTATTTCATCAAAGTATTAGGCATTGATATTCTCCTTATGCCAGGTCGCGATCTATACTGCTTAACATTACTATTGAAGAACCATTTTACCTAGAGCCTTGGTTACGAAGCTAGAATTGAAACAGCCAAGGAAACTTGCATGGTGAGCCTTGACTTTCTAATGCTTGAAGCGAGCTGAGAACAACCTTTCGTTGTTGCTTCTATGCAAGTCGTCCTCGTTAGTCCCGATCAGGCGATTTAGCTTCCGATGAGATTAGTATTTCGAATGCAGTCCCCACGCGCGTTCCCTTCAATTGCTCCTGATGTATCCCGGAGAAATACGCCTCGAGAGAACAAAAAGAAGAGTGTACGTGTATGGGATTGATGACATTGCTATACGGGCCGTCCTAGATGTGCATGATGGACGACCAGAGTAAGTCAGAACATTGGACACAATTGGCTTCGGACCGGTACTGCCCGTGTTTATATATTCCCCTTGGAAGTATTAGAGTAACAAAGAGGTTATGCTCTACTCTGCCCCGT